TTTTTTTATTTTTTTGTTGTTGTTGTTGTTTGTTTACCATTGCATTATTGACTTTTGATAAAGTCGTTATGGCCATTACATAGGTTCTTTGTTTCGACAATTATCCCAGCACTTGTAAGAATGTGAAACGAAACCTTTGAAGTGACTTTTCTCCACACTTTTGATAAAGTGTCTTCCTGCAAAAGCCTATGGCGCTTTACCTTACTTTTCGCCACTGCCCAGAACTGTTCTATTGGGTTAAGCTCAGGAGAGTAAGTAGGAAGATACACACATTTATATCCTCGATATTCAATATATTTCTTTATGTTCTCATGCTTATGAATGGATGCATTATCCATCACTATATAATGACCTTTCATATGTGGATATTTGTCCATTTTGTCAAGAGTCGTTTTTAGGAAGCTAATGTAGTGACTTGTTACGGTTCCTGAGCTTATATATCCATCAACTTTTCTCTTCTTAACTGGTCTTGGTTTTTTTACGCCGACTACGATCAAACCTGTAGCAGAGATAGCACCCAGTATAGACGTTGTGTTTGCTCCCGTTGTAGGTCGGTAACAATAGCACGAGTACCTTTTGTAGACCAAGCTCTCGAACGCTTCATGTTGATATCAAAAGCAGACTTGTCAAGAAACACACAATTTGCTAGAAAGCTCATGTCTGTCTTTTCCCATTAACAAACCCAATTGTATCGTTCCTCAATCTTTGCTGGACTATTTCTTTCAATAGAATGGAAATCGGCTTTTTTCAACGAAAGGTTGCATTCACGTCTCATAAAATTATAAACTGTGCTGTGAGAAACTTTAAGATCATGAAACTGTTTCAATAAATATTCGGTCACTTCAACAACAGCGGCAGAGGAATTAGCATCAATGAAATTGATAATAGATCTTTTATGCTCATCTGTAAGAATACACTTATGACCTACTCTGTTACAACTGTCAAAAATGTTGTCAGGGCACTTATTGTACTGCTTAACTCATCTCTGTGTTGTTCGAATGTGAATACCTAACTGTTTTGCTGCAGCTGATGCACTCAGGCACTTTTCAATCTTCAGATCGAAAAATCTGGCCTTATCCTGGACTGTATAACGCACGTAGTCCCGTTTTGTGTTCGCCTCCTTCATATGGACATCTTCATCTTTTGACTTCTCTACCAATATTGGACAAGTCGAAGAAGACTCATCTGAAACTGCATTTTCCAAGTAATCAGTATGAGTGGCAATGGTTTCAGCAATAAACTTATTCTGATCAACAATGTACTCCATCGGTTCAGGAACACCATTCTCATCAACATTTCCATGTCCATCTTCATATAAAAAAAGGTGTGCCAAGGCAAACGACTTCCATTTCTGAAAAAGCGAAATTGATTTTGATTGGCCAGTGACTTCAATTTTGATTCACCTGTGGCATCATTTTTCATTGGCAAAAGATGTTGATTTTGATTGGCTGCGACTTTGCTTCTTAGAAGCACTGTACTAAATTGCATGCAAAGGCTATCCTCTGGTTATTTGCCAGTTGAAGCATTGCAGATTGTGCTTAGCTGTAAATGATCGTGATATCGTCAGTGCAATGCAGATGATCAAAATATTAATTTTAGCGAGTAATAATATGTATGATCAAGGGATATAAATGCTGCTTTAAATATTCAATCCATCCTAATGTCTTATGTCAAGTTAAGCTACAGCATTATATCAAAACATCCTTCTCAAAAAGAGAATCAACCTCTGGTAGTGATCAAGCCACCTTACAGTCACTTTGATTGGCCCTCAAAAAAATGCTGACGTCATCATTATCTTATCCAATCAAAAAATTCTGAGATGATTTAACTGAGTCCAACTTTCTCATACATTCGTAGCGCTTTTTTTTTCACTTTTTGCTCTTCTTGTTTTAAATTAAAGCTATTAAAATGAATAATCCCGGCGCACTTGATATGGCTCTTGATGATGTCATCTCACAAAACCGCAAACGTACTCAACGCAGCACCACTAGCAGCAGAGGTGGAATCAACAAACGCCGTGGTACTCGTCCATCATCTTCGGTATGTTAATCAACTTTTATTATTTGCTTTTTATATACTATTTTCCACACCACACGCACAAACACTATTCCCTTTTTTCTCCCTTCCTTTCTCCGTATGACTCTCTCTTGATGGGAACCAATCCTTTTGTTATTTTCTCCAGATGTAAAAAAGGAGAAAGTGAAGAAAAGGAGGAAGAGAAAAAAAGTGTTGATTCGAAAAGAAGAAAAGGAAAGAAGCATCAAGTACAGAGAGAAAAAAAAATAGGCCCAGTGATAGACTGAGAAAAAATGGGATCAATGGAAATGATGATGAACTCATAGCGTCGTGTGTCATACACAACTACTGGACTCTTTTTTTTTTGCTTTTTTTTTTTCTCTGCTTTTCTTCAACATACTTCTTTGTGGAATTTTTTTATTTTTTTTTATTTTTTACCTTTGAAAAGAACTGGTATCCTAATTATCCATCATTCGTTGCGCTTATATTTCAATTCGAAATCAAAAGCCATACAACAGACCTAGACGAACCAACGCACCTCCTACTAGAAGCAACGTCCCTCCTCCTAGATCCAGTGCTCCTTCGCGTAGTAATAGCTTGGTTGTTTCCAACCTGCATTATAATGTTACAGAAAAAGATCTTTATGTAAGTAGATATATATGATATGGAAAAAAGTATAGAGGCTAATGATCATTTTAGGATCTCTTTGGACAAATTGGTAAATTAAAGAGAGCTTTTCTTCATATTGGTCCCAATGGTAAATCTGCCGGTATTGCCGATGTGGTGTTTGTTAATGCTAATGATGCTGAACGTGCCCGTGTGACATACAACAATGTTCAGTTAGATGGTAAGTTGATCTTATCTTTAAAAGTATTTGTTGTTAATTCATTTCTTTTAGGTCGTCCTATGCGCATTACAACCGCATCCATCATTTCTTCTGTTTCAGCACCAAGTAACGCTAGACCAAGAGGTAATAACACCCGTCGCCCTACGCGTGGTGGTGGTAGCGGTAGAAGGGAAAATCGTCCTAAACCTAGTCAACAGGACCTAGACGCTGATATGGACTCTTACATGGGCGTAGCAGGCGAAGATACTCAGATGAACTAACCGTGCTTTTTTAAATAAAATTAAACGTTCAAGCTGACATTTACACCAACAAGAAATATTTTTTGAAATTAGCAAGGCATACATGAGAGAGATTATACACAGACCTTTAGAGAAGACTCATGCTTATTGCAGCCACTTTCACTATTTTGATTATTACTTTAATAAAAAACATTTGCATTTCTGATTTTGTCTATCAGTCACATCTTGATATGTTTCCAAGGGTACATGTTTTACTACTAAAAACTTGGGTTTACATTAAGCTCATTTGAAAAAGATGTAGAATAAATGCTCTTTATGACATATTAACTTTTATTACAAGGACAATGGATCCCTTTCAAGAACACGAATCTTGTTAAATTATATACTGATAAAGTCAATAAACGTACAATTAATAGCAAATTTATATCCGTGTTTCTTGTTGGTTGCCATAGCAATCTCTTCAACCTGATTTGACAAAGTAGAGTTTGCCAAAACTTGCTTTTGACTCGACTTTTTTGAGAGGATATCTAAAAGAACTGGTTTATCAAGTGCTTCTTTCATCGAGCTGTGTAACCTATTCATAATGGATAAGCTGATACCAATGTATATTTTCAAATGATTGGACTTGGTTTTAGGCATATCTACTACAAGCGAGGATGGGTCACCAAACCAATAGCTAGTCTCAATAGTCAAGTTGTGTAATTCTAGAGTGGCACATAAGTAAGCAGATAATACTTCTGATGATAAGTGTTTGGCGGTCAGTTGCAGTGTAGTCAATGAAGAGTTCAAGATCTGTTCTACAACCGGAATATCCATAGTGCTTTTATTAAAATTGAAGATAACCTCAAAATCCTGCCCTAACCCTGATCCGACCTGGCTGTCTGCCATGCTTTTATTATACTAATCCTCTTATCTATTAATGATTAAACTCCAAGACGAAACTCACAGTTTTTATAATGAAGAAAAGGCTGAGAGCGTTTAAATCGGATCAAAATGATCTCATAAAGATTATCCAAACTTGCAAATACCTGTTAGTGAATGACATAAAATCCTTCATTTTCATTGTTAAGGGGCTATCGTCGGATATTTGATTTGTGTATTTATTCTTTGATGTGCTTATTCCATTGCTGGTTACAGCGCTTTGTACTGGTTGCACTCTGCAGTCGAATTTATTTATCTCGTTTTGGTCAAGAAGTAACGTTTCTGTTTCATAGATCTTCACTTCAGATGCGATAGGGGGCCTATAAACTATGATTTTCGTGATATTTCTTTTGTTTCAAAAATATAAATTAATTAGGTGACATCTAATCTAATACTTATTTGCTATTTACCTGAGCTTTTTTAAGAGATAGATTGCAGTGTTTCCTCACAAAATCATGTAAAGTGCTCTTTAATACTTTGAGCCCTACAAATGTCTGCCCCAGTTGCTCCATTACCTGCTCCCAAACGGCTGATCGATTCTCATCCATGAAAGCTAGCACGGTCCTTTTATGCTCCTCATCGAGAAGACATGGGCGACTAAGTCTTCCGATATTTCTCGAAGATGCCATCAGGGACACCCTCATACTGATTAACCCATCTTTGTGCTGCAAGAAAGTGGATGCCAACTGGTTCGCTGCAGCAAAAACACTCAGGCATTTCTCAAGCAAGGGTTTAAAGGACCTCGCTTTGTCCTGATCTATGTAGAGCGTATAGTTACGCTTGGAGAAATTTTCTCTCATTGCAATGTCGGTGTCAGCCTTTGCGCCATCTTCTATATGTATGGCCACTCGCTTGCCGCTTTCTTCTTGAGATAATTTGGACAAACACTGTGTATAAGGGCTTAATGTCTCGAGGCGATACTGCTTCTCATCAACAACGTAATCCATAGGCTCGGGTCTGCCAGATTCGTCGACTGCAGCTTCCTTCCCATCTTTATATAAAAATTGGATGCTCATTATGACAAAATTTCTGATACAATTGTGATAAGAAGAAACTGGGGAGTGCACTGATGCAATTCTATATCCCTCAAAGATGCCAATGAATACCAAGGCTTATGGAATAGCACTTCCTGGCCATGCGACATCTGGTTTGTCAGGATGGCAATATTCATTTTTAGATTTCGCAACATGCACTCTTGAACCAGTGCAACATCAGTCCATACTTGGTGCAACTTTACTTTCTGGAAACATTGTATACACGGAGTTTATTCTATTTTGTATCTATGCTGTCGGTTCAACCTTCACAGTAATTTCTGTGATTTGCTGACCAACATGAAGGGTAACCAAATGAGGACCCAAAGCCTTGATACGTCCACCCTCAGTCTTTACGTGAATATTTGATTTGTCGACAGTAATATCATACTCTGCTTTCAATTTATGAACAATATCCTCCACTGTAACTGATCCAAACGTATTTTCACTGCCTGGTATAACTGCTCTACTAAACTTGATTTCATACACACCCTTTAAATTATGTAATAGCTCTTCATCCTTCTTTGTAGCCATCTCTCTTCTCTTTAATGCCTCTTCTTTTTCCTGTTCTAGTTGAGCATTGTCAATTACTTCCTCCTCTTGTTCAGGATTATAATCCTTGCTAATATAAGTTGCTTTTTTGGCAGGAAACAAAAAGTTACGCATTAAACCAGCTATATATATACATATAAATACACATGTACGTTGTCAATGTATATTATAGCTTACGTCGCACGCTCACAACTTGGCCTATTATACACATATTGAATTAATGCATGTAAACATAATGATGTATATATTGTACCTCGAAGTCCTAACCCGTCAACGGGTTGAGTTAACCTCACTTGAATATTTGCCTTCTTATGAGCTGATCGCTATATATCCGTTGGCCATTTAATACATTCCCTCTCTTTTCTTTTGATGCATTGGGTCTTACTTTAATAACCTGAGTAACGCACAAGGCAGCTTTGGTAGTTGATGTGCGAAGAATAAATGACATTACTGAAAAAGAAGGGAAGGGGGCGCGGCCGCTTATTTGTCTTTAATTTTTTGTGGCTTGTTGCATGTTGTCTATGAACTTGGATCCCTTTTTTATATATAAGCATGCCATTTACAAGATTGAGATCTAACCCTTATTTTGGCGCCTTTCTATCGGCATTACCATGGATACCGGTAGCTATATTCTTTGTTGATCACGGATACAGTTATGCAAGAGTATCAGGACGTTCGATGCAGGTAATTTAGAAAAAAGAAAAAGGAAAGGTGTGCTTATTGTATTTTGTAGCCTACATTCAATCCTGATTCCAACATGATGTCAAAAGATATTATCTTGTTAGAAAAGTGGTCTGCAGCCAAACACAAATTTAAGCGAGGCGAAGTAGTATTATTGACGTAAAGCTGGAAGGAGGAGGAGTTTAATGGATCTTATATGTATACTTTTTATAGATCGCCGACTGATCCTAAGCGTATAATAACAAAAAGAATTATTGCATTACCTGGTGATATGGTTCAGCCTTTAAGAAAAGATGAAGAAGTGCCCATCCCTGCAGGTCACTGTTGGGTGGAAGGTGATGAGGCATTTCATTCAAAAGATAGTAATTCATTTGGACCTGTAAAGTGTATCTTTGGCAATAGATTGCTTTTTTTTTTTATTAATCTGTATGTGTCTATATAGGTACCAATAGGGCTGATTCACGCTAAAGCAAAATATATCCTATGGCCGCCTTCAAGATTTGGCCCTGTTCCTGATCGACCTATTAATCCAAACAGGATAAAGACAAACGTATTTAGACCTGTGGCAGGAGAGCTTACTTTTCAATAAATGATCTTGACACAAAAATAAAGGAAAATGGCTGACATTCAAAAAGTGCATAATCTTTTTCTTTTTCTTTTACTTTTTTATAAGATGTCTGGTAAATGAGAGCATAATTAATTCCTTTAAACATTGCATAGTTAACATTTCTATACATAGCACCTAATCAGTATCCTGATGATATCGACTGGCCCGTCACTATATTCTTGGTACACACAAAAAAAGAGAAAAAGAAAGAGACAGTTGCTCATATCGTTTTATGCATAGAATATTATATTAATATGTTTAGTTGTAGGCATGTGCTTTCTCTTGAAAAGAGCAAATAGGCTCATACCTAATCGATTCAGCTTTCCTTTGGTCACAAGACAAGGAGGTATCCAGTTAGGACAAGACGAAGAACGTGGTCTGATGAGTGGATATAGTGATGACGAATACAATGACGCAGAAGTCATTGTCGACCAATATCACCATAGAGATTCGCCGCAAAGAAATGAAGAGGATGAACTAGAGGCAAGACTAGCAGAGGACAGAGTTGAGCATACTCCTACTACTGTTTCACCACCATTACAAGAAGAATCAGGACGATCATAATATAAATAAACTTGCCTGAGCAACGTAATATTGCATACCGCCGCTTCCCAGCTCACTTTCATATTTTATTTATTTGATTGGTGTTATCCCATATAAAGTTTTGTTATTTTAATCAATTAACCCAGAGGATAAGCCAACAGGAAAAGGCTATCACTCATTCTCCTTCATAACTTTACTGTTTAGATCAATTAAAGCTCGCTTAAAGTCTAAAGAAAATTGCAGCGTACATCTTTTCTTCAAAAGAAATTTGAGTAACTTTGTGGCACACTATAGCCTTAGTTGGCCTAAAAAATTGTAAAAACTTATACTGAACAAATGCCTTTAGCAATTATTCTATGATAAACCAAGACACAGAAACTCTTTTACTATACAGACTGTATTTCATTGATGGGAGCCAATAAATTATATAGCGGTTTTTATTAATAGTTTTTATACAAATAAATGACAAGTGATAAATGTGGTATATGTATACAAAGATTGTTACCAAGCAAGTTTGGCGATAGGGCCCTTGGGGAAACTTCTAATTAAGAGCTTTCTTATCTCATCAAGCGTAAAAATCATCGCTGCCCATCCAAATGGAATAAACCAGTACTTCACAGGCACAGGACGCGTCAAAAGCACATTTTGAATACCGGGGATATACAGAATAATAAAGGCAATGACCAAAGAGATGAGCATGGCACCAAAGATGTACCAGTTCTTGTTATAGCCAAAGAATGGGTTGGCCTGGAAAAGCGAGAGTCTTCTTGTTCGAGAAGAAAGTGCATTACCCCATTGACAGATGATCAAGTTAATATAGTAAATTGACTGGCCCACATTGATGAATTCGTTGAGCTGTTGTGACGTGTAGCCCATGTATCCGTCTGTAGTCAAGTTTGTAAAGGACATAAACACCTTGCTTGGAGGAATGCCTTGTTCAGACATGTAATAAAAGAACATAAACATTGAAGAGAGCATTTCCATGAGACCAATAAATCCATATGCCTGAAGGAGCAGATTAAAGTTGACCAAGCGATCCTTTTTAGGGTTTCGAGGCGGGCGAGACAAGAGACCTGCTTCAGGTTTTTCCATCATCAGAGACATCGAAGGAAACACGTCGTTGAGGACACAGATGACGATCATCTGGAAAGATGAGAGAGTTTGAGGGCCACCCATGTAGATATTGACAATCACAGGCCAGAGTTCAGACCAGGAACCAGCGGGAAGCAAATAGATAATGACCTTTTTCAAGTTGTCAAATACAAGACGTCCGTTTTCAATGGCAGCAACGATACTAGAGAATTTGTCAAGCAAGATCATATCAGCTGCTTCCATTGCGACATCACTGCCACCTCCCATGGCAATACCAATATCAGCTGCTTTGAGGGAAGGAGCATCATTCACACCATCGCCCGTCATGGCTACCACATTTTCGCGTTTCTGGAATTCCTTAATGATACGAAGCTTCTGATCAGGTGAAGTACGGGCAAAGACTATTTCTTCATACTGACAGACTTGCTCCCATTGAGCATCGTTAAGAGTGATCATATCTGAACCAGAGAGCAAGAGCGATTTATAACTCGAATCATCCATCTTATGGTCCAATGTACTGTTCGACTGAGACTCGATGTCCTTGACTTGACGAATGTCGATACTCTTGGTCACATACTTTGGAATTTCCTCCATTTTTTTGGCTGGATCAAGATCTGCAATCGTATGAGGATATTCGGTTGTAAAGATACCAATCTGACGAGCGATGGCAGCAGCAGTTGTAGGGAAATCACCTGTGACCATAAAGAAACGAACACCAGCTCTTCTGCAGACCTCGACCGTCTCTGCACTTTCAGGACGAGGAGGATCAACAATGGCAACCATGCCGATGACGACAAGATCTGTGTTCATGTTGGAAGCCCAAGTAGCAAAGCTGGATGTACCGGCTGCGTTATCCGTGGTATCTTCAGCCTTAATCACACGACGTGTAAGCAAGAGCACACGCTTACCCTCATGGGCCCACTTGGCTTGGATATTCAGTAGAGTTTCTGTACGTTTGTCAGTCAAGTCAGCTTCATATCCGTCAGGCAGCAATATTTTTGAGCATCGCTTGAGGATAATATCAGGAGCACCCTTACAGAACAAGACCCAGTCCTTGGTCGTCACTGGTGAACTACGTGATGAGAGTGATCGGGCCATGGTGTCCTTGAGAGGTCGAACAATCGTGAGCATCCACTTGTTCTTTGAGTTGAACGGAATCTCAAACACTTTTTCCGTATCTGCACGCATCGTCTCGACTGTGGCAACAGCAGGATTCATTCCTTCAGCAAATCGTAAGATGGCACTATCCGTGGCATCGCCAAAGACAACACGTTGACGAATATCCAAGTGTGCTGTTTCAGAATCGAAATGGGATCCGTTACAGAGTGCAGCCGTCAGTTGGAGCAAAGTCAGCTGAGGAGCCAGTTCGACGTCGCTGCCGCTTGAGCAAATTTGGTTGCAGGTCTCAGAGGTAAATGTTTCCCGACCAATGGATGCATCCGAGACGAACATCTTGTTTTCAGTCAATGTTCCTGTCTTGTCCGAGCAAAGCACATTCACACTACCAAGAGTTTCGACCGTTGTCAGGACCTTGCAGACAATGTTGTTCTTTTGCATACGACGGGCAATGATCGTCAGACACAGCGTCACGGCTACTGGCATGCCTTCAGGTACAAAGGCGACTAAGACACTGATGATGGCGACCAAGGCAGCAGAGGGGGTAAGGAAATCTGGGTAGTCACGACGTAACCAAGCAAGCCATGTGATTAAGCAAACAAGACCGACGGTGATGGCTAATGAAGCAATGATCATGACGAACCGGAAGATTTCAATCTGTAACGTTGTACGAGTACTTTTGTTATTTGAAGATAAGCATGCAATTCTTCCCATGAGCGTATTATCACCAGTCGAAACGACCACACCAATACCAGAACCGTTCAGAACGTGTGTGCCCATCATGGCTACATTATGCGTTTCAAGAACGTTGTCGTCTGTGTCTTCGATAGTACCAGGAATAGGATCTGATTCACCAGTCAGAACAGATCGGTCAAATTTCAAGTCGTCAGACACTTGGATCAGTCGTAAGTCAGCAGGCACCTTGTTACCCATCTTTAAATGAACCACATCGCCAGGTACAAGTTCAGCAGCGTCGATAGTAATGATCTTGCCGTCACGAACAACCAAACATTGTGTAGGAAGCATGTTATTGATCGAATCCATCACTCGGGTCGTTGACCAGTCTTGCCAGGCGTTGAAGAAAGCTTGAATGAATACAACAGCCATAAGAATTATAGCAAGTGTCAAGTTGAGTGGGGCAGGGTTAGGATCGCCAAGAGGTCTCCAAGAAATCCTAATGATAAAGTTTTGTCAGCAAAAAGTCAACTTTACCCTCTTTTGATCTTACCAGCAAATAATACTTGCGATCCATAACAAAGGACAGAAACCGCCAAAGAAGTAGTCATAGACCTTCTTGAACCAGTTATTGGGAGGAGGTGAAATTGCGTTTTTGCCATGTTCTTTAACTCGTGAAGCTATCTGGTCTAATCCAAGGCCTCTTACAGCACTTGTTCTGTACTGTTGCTCAAGTTCTGTAATGGAGAGCTTATGATAACTAACATTGGATAAATCTATAAATGATATGTCTGAGCTTTCTTCGCAACTACACAATAGTATATATTATTTTACCTTCTGCTAAATCCTTTTGCGACTTTTTAGACTTTGTGACACCCTTTGCTTGATTTTCTGAAACTGTGATAGAAAGCGTTCTATAGGCAATAATAGCTTGACTGCCTGAAGTTGATGCCCGTCTCAATCGCTTTTTGGCTGTATCAATCACTTCCTGATCGCTATGGTGTACTTGAATTTCGGAAAATTGAACAGCAGTGGGCCGCTCTTCCTTGAAGACCACTTTTTCTGAGCTCATAGACCGAAGGAGAAGAGAAGGATAAAAGTGACAAGGATAAGATAGATAATTAGAAGGTATTTATATTATGTTTATTTATATAAGCGGTTAAATAAGGTAAATATGACTCTTTCATTGCCCTCATTGATTAGCTAAAAGCTACAAAATCGCTCATATCAATGAGTGAATTACAACAGCTGGTGTTTCATGTAGCGGCCAAATAAAATAGAGTTTGTCCAATGATAAAAATACCTCTGTTATTCTAAACGAAGCACAGCCATTGTTTTGCTATTGGATTAAATGTAACTTGTAAAAGTAAAAGAACATCACATTTATCAAAATTGCCTTTTTTAAAAAGGTTTGATTTCATTTTAACAGTGGATACTGGATCACAATATCTTTCATCTGCAAGAAAAAAAAAAAGAGAGCAGCTATTTATTTTCAGCATGCAATCAATAAATATGCAACTTATCCCTCTTATTTTTGCCTGTCTTTCTCTTTCCTATTCTGCATTTATCGCATTGTTGTCAGAATCGCCTCAGTAACACAGTCATTATGTGATGTATTATACGCTTTTTAGCTGAGGTCTTTTTTTTGTTCTTGTTTTCCATTGTGTGACCAACGCGTAATTCCTTATATAGAAAAGTCTATCAAAGTTTAAGGCTCCACCTCCTTTCAAAAAAAAAGCCTCTGCTTAATTTTGCCTACTGCTGTCTTTTAAAATGCCTGTATGCTTGTATATGTGCAACATTTTATACAGTGCTGAAGGTACCATTCTCTGAAAATTTAATGAGATGGCTGGATAAAGCTAAGAAAGGATATCACCCGCCCACCCACTCCTTACCAAGGCCACGTTCATCAAGATCAAATAATAGGACATTGTATTTCTTTTATTGGCTTTATTGGCTTTAATAAAAAGATCATAGCATATATTCCTCTTCCTTTGGTCTATTGACCAAAATACACATTAGCTAGCTTGACTGTGTTCATGCTTACATTAGAAAATCTGCATATGATGTCCTTCAAAGCATCTGTAGCACTTTTGACATTCTTGATGGAATCTTCAAGTAAATGATTTATATCAGTAGTTACTTTTAATCTGTGTAAAAGGGATTAAGCATCTTCTCTGTTAATGACATAAGATCATTTAGTTCTTACCCAGATGACTCAATGACCATGCAAGGGAATTTTTTATTATTGACACCTATTCTATCTAAGAGAGTTGTAGGGATTTTTTCTTGAGTAACGAAAAAAATGCTTGTAGCTGACTCTCTGTCCTTTCTCCCACACCTAAACTCGATTATTAAAGTTATCCTCAGTATCAGCTTACATATAATATGTATTTACCAAGTGAAAGGCATTAGGGCTGTAATATTACTAAAATATTTAACTATTAGGACAATATGTTCAACATAGGTTGTTCTTTCATCATTTATAGGTATTTGTGTAATTCTCATCGAGCTGATCGTAAAATCAACTTAAGAATATTTCATAAACTGATTGAATTTATGATCACCACTATCTAAAACCGCAACATGCTTTAATGCATCTTCTTTACTAATAACCATGAACTTTTCGAATAAACAAACTAAGGACTCTACCGCCAACAGATTTTTGTTTTGCCTGTGATCTGTTTGGAACTTTCTAAACTCTTGGAGCGTTGCTTGAGTTGCATATGCTGTGTTTGTTCCCAAGCAGATATCTATTCTTGCCGCAATTTTTGAAAAGCTATACTCTTCAATAACAGGCAAACTCAAGGTGAACAACTACGCGCACGAGGAAATCCACGAGAAGGTTGATGCTACAGGCACTGCCTATGATGCTGTCAACAAACCTTTTCAATGTACGGCGTCAAGTTAAATACGAATTTATGAAATTATCAGTTTAATTTCTTTCTTTTCAAGAAAGAGATAAAAAGGAATAAAAAATTATTTTTTATGTTGTCAGTTTGATCAATAAAAAGCCAAGATCATTCACTTGTAATTATCGTACAGTTGCCGAAATGGAGACGAAATATGTGGTACGATTCATTCCCTTGGCTTTGTAGGTTCTTCAAGCAGCGAAAGAAAATAGAACAGTGCACTTAGAAAACTATGAAAGGGACATAGAATATAGAAAACTTTGCATTTTATTGCTATTAAAACTACGAATAAAAAAGCACGGCTCAGAGAACATTGACCACGTCTGAAGTCGAAATGGAGGCAACTAAGGTTGATTTTTGGTACTTTTTACTTTTTTCCAAATACGAAATGGATGAAACAGTGCATAGTTCAGTCGAATCTTGGGTACTTTTAACCCTCATCAATCGCGATTTGGATGACGGTGACTACTATAATGCGCTCTTATTGTCTGAAAGATTATTTGCCATTGACACCCAACACAGCTACTATCGTTTTCTTTATGCCACCTGTCTCTTTCGAACACTAGATTACTCTGGCACCTACATGATCTTGCGGACTGATCGTTCTGTGACCTCATTAAATCTATTTGCCAAAAGTTGCCTTGAACTGGCCAAGATCGAGCAGGACAAGAGCAAGAAACGAGTGTTTTTGGAAGAAGGTGTAGAGGCTCTTTCATTGGCTTTGAAAGATCCCTCGTTGGAACAAGATCTGAACTGGGGAAATGAGCTAACCAGTTTAACGATGCGTCAGCATAAACCCAATAGATCATCACTATACAATCTCTTGGGCGATTTGTACGTTGGACTAGACAACATACGAGCTGCTGCCAGATCATATTGGGAGTGTCTTCGCATAAACCCTTACAAGATATCAGCATATACCAAACTGTGCGATATTGCTCCAGATGTGGTTAATTTCAGTAAGGCAAAGTTGCCCAAGGATATCTTTAAGGACTTTTCAGAGACGCTTGATCTGTCTGTACATCAACAAGTAGACTCCTCGCTCCTTCCTTCGGCTGATGCACCCGGTCTTGTCTTTCATGAATATCCTCCGTACGAAAAGAACACATACTCTATGCCAGGGCTCAGTGATTCCGAGTTTGAAACGATCAGTATTGAGCAACTAAGGACGCTTATCAAGTTTAAGCCTAAAATTGCTGATTTGGATGAGCAAGTTGAAAGGTGTGCCGTATTTTATATATAGATTTCCCAAAATACTTACTCTCCGTTATATATCATTTGTGTTCATATAGAAATTCTATAGAGATCAACAGAGACAGACTGATCGATACTGTCGAAAAGGATATTCAACAAATGAAAATGCTTGAAGATTATAAAAACAAACATGGATTACATAAAAAGCCACCAGTTGAGACGCCAATACATCTTAATATGGATATGCCTCAGCTTGATGAAAACATGGATCTGACGCATGAACCACATGAGCCCATTCAACCACACCCACCACGGCTTAGCAGAAGAAAGCACTCATCCGAATCAGAGAGTTCAAACAAAAGACGACGTTTATCCTCAGAACAGGTAATAGTCACAAACTAAAGAATGAAGAAGAGTTTGATTAACATCTTTTAAGTTTATACCCAAGGTTAGCCCTTCCCTTTTAAGCTGTACCACGCACTCGTGTTAACGGCTTCTGTTTTATAGAATCAATCCATAAGCCATTTATTTCTATCAAAGAACCACAAAAATATACCAGGAGAAGCCATGCAAGATATCGTCATGGGCATGAACAAGGTCGTTCAACTACTACGGATCATCGCCAATGGTTACCTCCACCAGTCATTCTATCGCTGTGAAGAAGCTGTTCTAGAACTACAAAAGTTGGATGACCGGCAGTACAACTCGGCTCGTATTTTGAGCATCATTGGAAAAGCATATTATGATGCCATTGATTATCAAACGGTAACCCCAACTTAAAAGCTTAAAGATATGACTTTTTTGCTGACGGTCTCTACGGCAGGCCCGCGTCTTTTTTAGACAGTCATTTTGTATTGCGCCTTGGTACTGTGAATACACACCTTATTACTCCACTTGTCTCTGGTACTTACAAAAGGATAAAGAACTCAACATTCTAGCATACAAAATGAAGAGTAACCCATGTCACCTCTATGAAGCCTATATCGTGATGGGTAACTGGACAAAATGCGTCAAAGAAGGAAGCGAGGCCGCACATTGGTTCAAGAAGGCGGTCCAGGTCAACCCTAGTCATTTTTATGCTCATGCTCTGCTCGGTTACGAAGATTGGGAAAAAGAGAATCATTTGGGCGCTAAGCAGCATTTTGCAAAGAGTATGGTGGCTAATAAACGATCTTATCTCGGATGGTAAACGAAAAAAAAAATCACTCATTCAGAAAATATAATGCATGTGTGTATTAGGTTTGGTCTAGCTAATGCGTATCGCGCCATGGAGGAATACGTACAAGCAGAGAATTTGTTAAAGGAAGCAATCAGATTACACCCCAGACACCCTGTTGTCCTTGCCACCATGGCGGAAGTTTTATATAATATGGAAGAATATAGTGAAGCTAAAGAATATATTGAACAATCGTTAAACATAAGACAGTTTTCAGATTATGAAAAATTGAGAATAAAAATACTTGAAAAGTTGGGAGAATGCTAGCTTAGGATAGGCAAAAACTACATGTATACAATAGAAAAAGATTAGCACAGCAAAATAAATAATGGCTTTTTTTTGTTCTTACGTTGCCAATGATAATGCTGGGGAGATCAAAGATGTCGCGTTTTATCGTAAAACAAAATGTACAAGGGACAAGTCGTTTTGTTGGGCTTAATAATATACATGTACTGTAAACTGCTGAATTGGCGTTCTCAAATGCATGTAAAGCATACTTCTCCCAATACTCTATGGCTGATGTATGGCTCATAAGCTAGAAAGATAAATGTCAACACAAACGATGTAGTCTATCGTAATTTTACCTCGAAGATATAAGTCTTTTTGTTCATCAAGGCTTCTTTAGACCACTGAGTCAACAGAGAAAACTCTTTCCCAACCAACACAATTTCTCCTGTTCTTCTCCAAATGACTGTTGGTGTTCCAGAATACGAAACTAATTTTTCATACTCCTATAATGAACCTAGCGATTTTAATTTGTGTGTTGCGTGGTAGCCGAAATTTGTTACCATCATCGTTCTCTGCAGACATCTTTCTGTAAATATCAGATCGGCTTCTGTCAAATTCATCATTGAAGCTATCATTGACGGTCTAAATAATGAAAGTGCTTTACTGATCCTCATGAGTTCTTGTCTGCCCATTCTATTAAAAAAATGAGTCATCGTCATCATTCTAGATCCGATTTACTTACCTTTCCCTCACGTAGTTGATAAGATAATGGTACCCCTCAACATAGTTGTATGGTTTTTTCACATTGGGAAAATGAGTCTTTCTTGACGCAGGATAAAGTAATACAGGGTCTCGATCGATCGTAGACGACGATGACGACGAGCATGAGGCAGAGTCCAGAAACTGGTGTGGCGAACCAAGCATGTTGGTCAGCATGGAATATTCTAACGGCGTTGTTGAGCTAAATCCACTGCTGAACGATAAAATTTGATCTACTTTTTTTGTAAAGAGAGTGAGATATTAGGTAAGGTCGTTATTATGCAAGTACCTTCATAGAATGACTGCTGGTGCTGTTGTTGTTGTTGTTGTTGAGGTAGTGTATGATGAAAGATGTTTTCTTCATCTGGTTAAATAAGGTTATTGGACTGTTTCTCCTGTTTCTATTTTGTTCCAATGTTACCTTCTTGTAAGTACTTTGCTTTCTTTCTTACTCCGTCAGTACAAGTACTAGCTAGGTCTCTTTTGATGCATCTTTGGCACGGACGAGCTATGATTATCATTTATTAACTTATCATTTTCCCCCTTTCTTTTTAGATTACAATCATCACAAGTCAGATGAGCCTATATTGTCTGTTGGAGATATAATGTGGTGGATCATAGTGTTTCTTTTGGGTTACCTTCTGACAATGGACACACGCTCTTGCCGCCTTCTTCTTTTTCGGTTTTTGCTGTGGATCTGTGGGAAGGGAACCTGTCATGATTAAAGATGCATATCATGCATATGAAAAGCTTGAACGGTATGCGTGTGTGTATCGAATGTGAAGAAAAAGAGATTTATATATAATTTATTGGTTGTTTAAAAATAAAAGGAGTTATTTAGCTTCCGCTAATTTTTTTTTTCTTTTCTGAAACGAGCTCGATTTAATGAGCCTTTGTTTCCTTTATAGTCTGTTCCACTACCACAGGCTCGGGCTCTGCTGCTACTACTGGTGCAGGAGGAGCAGGCTCTATCACCTTTTCTTCTTCTATAATGACTGTCTGTGGTTGGAACACAACACCAAACTTCATGTCTCTGTTATAAGTGTATTGCCAGATAAAGGAAATCAACCAAATGATTGGAATAAGAATAATGATGGCCAAAACTTTACTATTGATTTGATAGATTACTTGATGATAAGGGTTGCCATCGAGTATCTTTTTGACCCCAGCGAGATACCCTGTATGTGCAAGAAAGTCTACGCCTATCATAAAGATATAGGAACCAACAAATGCAAACGAAAACAGCAAGACATAGCGCTCTGCAAAGAAAGTTAGGAAAGAGAAAAAAACGGGAAGTGAGACCATGAGGGCAGCTCGAGCAGGCACCTAATATACCAAGTCAGATAGCAGCGTAATGATACGAATAGTGTTTACCTGTGTGATCACCAGATTCTCTTTGCAGCATAAAATATACAGTGCCAATGCAAATCCACCCATTGAGCCAATCAGATAAATAGAAATAGACCAAAATAATGCGTAAATGATGGCGCCCAGTATGCCCAATCCTGCAGGTACTGCGATCAGAGTGACATCGTTATTGATATAACCGTAGTAAGGTTGATTGTTTGCCATGGCTACCCAAGTGATTAAACCTTTCAAAAGGGAAAAGAATAAGATCAAGCAATAGACTATGTCTTCTTTTTTTTTTTTTTTACCAAATGTAATGTAACCGCAAACAGCAAGCGTCAATCGAAATGAGCGAAAGCCAAAGATCATGAGATAAAGGCCTAGGACGATCAAGATACCAGCCGCTACACCATTCTGTGGTGTAATGTAGTTTCCTCCGTATATTGCCACTGTAAAGCAAGTAAAAGAGCCATTAGAATTATTGAAATGAACCATATACTACAAAACATACCTGGGCTAGAAGATGGTGCTGGATAAGGTGGACTGGGCTTTGGTGATGAAGTGGGTGTAGCTGTAGGAGCTATTGTTGTTACTGTTGTAGTCTTTGAGCCGCCTGAATTATGAAGATCAAACACATCTCGTTTATCATTGGCTGGCGTATGATGAATTGCAAATACAGAAAGAATGAACAATGAAAAGAACAGCAAGTAGTTTAATTTCATTATATAACAATAGACCCACGATGTGCTTTAGGTTTAATGATAAAGGGAAGAGAGAAGAGAAACGTCCTTTGCCCTTGCCTTATTTCAATGGATGACATATAAACAAACATGATTCCAAATTTGGGTATTGTTTTCTGTATTACAATTGATGTTACAAGGATCACACTAGTACTCGCTCCCAAAAGAGTGAGAAAGAGTTGGTCCGAGAGATGACTGGATAAAAATAGACAGGATATACACAATTATACAAAGATGATGTTATTGGGTATTCCAAAAAGATCTATTAAGCACATAGTACATATTTTTCAATCATTTGCGAACCAAACTGGCTATTTGACGTGTTTGATGAGATAACCATTATAATAGCTCGAGTATAATCTTACAGTAGAGCGTACATTCTACTTTACATTTCTCTATCGCATCTGATAAGAATAACTCATAATAATAGCTATAGTAGTTACTAGTATAACAATATTAATATAAGCATAAATAATGTCAGTGACAACAATAATGTAAATAGCAGTGATAGATTCTCTACCCAAGTAAACTCTCACTCAAACTTAAATTAATAATATTCAGCTCTTCTTAATAAAGAATCTAATTCGCAAGTCATCAACTTAATAGCCTTTTTTCAATAACACTAAAGCTGAAAACAACACTATTTGCAGTTCAAGCAGTGCGAATCTCAGACCAAACAGCATGTATTGGCAGAAATCAACCTGAACAACTGGAAAAAGCCCACAGCGTGATTCTGTGATGGTCTCGGATTCGATTGGCTAGGTAAAGGGCAATTGTCAATGGAAGGATCTAGCGGTCAACATAAAGAAACAATCTATCGTACTACCAGTGATACCGCCAAACAAATAAGCAATACTATTTCAATGCTGAAAGGACTCACAAGGGAAAATATGGATGCAAGCTTTGAAACATTGAAACAGGCTAAGACCATTGATGTGCAGGCTATTGACAGGACGATCGCCTTAACAGAAACAAGCTAAGACGAGGAGTCTTCCAAGTATCTTTATAAGGTGGTACGAACGGCGCGGATTCCAATAGAGTACGAAGAGCGGTATAATTGGCTACGTGTATTTAAATTATTAGCGTACCTGCTAGTCGAATTGAAAGAACAAGTTCATATACATGAAACTCTTAACAAGGAACAAACCAGCATTACTATGTTCCATCCCGAAGAAACTGTACGAATCAAGCTGAGTACCGGTTTAGACAACAGCACATAAAAATGATCAATATTTATTTCTTAGTATTGTATGAAAATTTATGATTATCAAAATCATTATGTGGGCCGGAGTGCCGGCACAGGGTTTCTTATTCTTTTATTGAATCGTCAAATATAAATAAATCAGTTTATTTTTCATATTCTAACCGTCAGTAACTTCTATTGAAGCCGACACACATCGGAAGCTATTAATTTTTACTGAATTCATAAATTTGATTATAAGTGCGACTTTACACCCTCTATAATACTACATATTAGTGAACAGAATAAAAAATAACAGTTGTCCAAATAATAATAAGTTTCATCTTTTCTGGAAGTTTGTCATACATTACTAACGATGACTATAAGTATGCAACTGATTACAATGAAGATATGAACAATTCGCTTTTACTTGAGGACAATCGCCACTTATTTTTTCACAACGGACAAAATTTACCAGTCGCACTGTATCAAGGGTCAATTGTTATTCAAGCAAACGAAAGCACTTGGAACAATGATCTTTCTTGATCTAATCTATGACAAGATAGTCGAATACCATTAAATATCATTTTATTGATAAATTATTATTCGCTGTTTATTTTAAATCTGTTTGGACAAAAAGCTTTATGATACAGCAAATTGGTAACTTTCTAAGGCGAGAGTAACTATGTGTGCATGGCTTTCTCTCTCTACTTTGTAGCTTATACATTGCCAATAGCTAGATGATCAAAGCAGTAAAGAGAAAAAGTGAGGAAGAGAGACATTTGTAAGGCATATGCTTTAATTGCACAACAACAATACTAAGACACCGTTTATTTTTATGTATTCAATAAAATACAATGCACTATTATTTTATTATCAAGCCCAGTTTATTCATTTTCACGCTTGATTAAGATATACTTATAAATACATGGTAGCTTCATTCACACGAGACTAATACAATATAACAAAATTACAGAATAAATGCTTATTTCTTAGTTTATAGTACAACACAAAACGAAAAAGAAAAGGAAAACAAGCAAGCAGGAATCTTATAGTTATCTAAATTTCAATTGGCATAATTCAAGAACTTATAATACAAAATATACAAAGTATGACATTTTGAAAGGATATTACTTTGTGGAAATAGTGTAGTTCTTTCGCCAATTTAAACGTTACACTCATTACAAATAACAAAACTGCAGAAGCGCCTTTTTACTGTGCCTCCAGGCAACATAAATCACAATATCTTGCTAAATATGAATGAAACTCACGCTCCTTGCAGTTTGAACAATTTGAACAACTTTGTTACCGAAATAGCACGTCTTTGAGCAGATTTGTGTGCGAAGCAACAGTAAAGAAACTATCATAAAGCGATGCATATACACTACGTCGACAATCAAATTCCAGCAAGTATTTTCCGCGTCGAAGAATAGAGAAAGACCATGCCATTTGCAGCTTCAACACAATTAGTGAGTTTTAGACGAATTCCCCTATGTTAAATAAATTCTTGAGAAGCGGAGCTACTCTTATGGGCGTGCGCGCATATATGTTTTTACCCTTTCATCTTGCTGAGTTAACGTTAACTTAGCCCTCTCCTGGTCACGGAAATTGCTAATAATATACTCAATATTACATGAGTCAAATCCGCTACACCATAATAATCTGGACCTAATCAAGCATTGTACGGTCAAGGAATTCTTCAATGTTAAAATCAATTCCTTCAGCTTTCCTTTGATGAATTTACACATTCCTTTCCCTTTTTACAGTTTTTCATCCTTCTAACCATAAGTAATAACATCCTAATGGATTGATCTGCTCCGGACAAATATTTTGTTTTTATATCACGTTTGCGTCCATTTAGATCATGTAAGTTTAAGTTACAAAGGCTCAGCTTGAACTTATGCTGATCTTCTCTTTTTTACTTTGATAATCCATTCGTACGTACGCAAGATCAGAGCTGTCTGAGATTCAATATCAGCAAATTATAGTCGCCAACACATGTTAAGCAACTGTTTTTTTCTTTTTTTTTTTTTTCAAGAAAAAAAAATATGGCAGACAACAAAAAGAAAGAAAAAAAAGACAAAAAGAAGAAGAAGGAAAAAGAGGCAGCAGTAGAAGAAGAAAGATTTAAACCGGTTATAAATCCTGACTATAACCCTACCGATAGTAATAATAACGAAGACGCAGAAAAGTGGACTATTGCTTCTAAGCGTTCAGATATAATACAACCCAATTCGCCCAAGAGCCCTACTCCTGCCGAACTACAAGGCTTTACAGCGTACAAGTATGTACCGAGTCCAGGCTATGCTCATTTAGATCCCTCCAAGCATAAGAACGCTCACTCCGCTTTTGATCAGTTGCAAAAAGTCATTGCAGCTCAAGAACAACAACAAAAGCAACAGGGTTCACCGCAAAAATCTACTCAAAAGAAGCAACCCAAGCAACAACCACCACAAAAACAACCACCATTACCATCACAACAGCATAAAGTGCAACCGCAGCAGCTACCACCACAACAACAGCATAGAGTGCAACAACAACAGCAACCACCGAGGATGCCACAGACAGGTCATGCCTTTCAACAAAGGCCGCCTCCTATGCCCATCCATCAATCGCCACAGTTATATCAAGGTCCACCTCATCAACAACGTACTCCAATTTATACGCAACAACAACAGCAACAGTGGACACGGCAACCGGGTCAACCTAGTCAGCCTTTCCGCTTAGAAGACGGAAGCAGTGTGCAACATTACGGTAAAGAAAAACAAATAAGCAATATGGTCATCGCGTGACTTTCTAAATTAATATTCTGTAGCACGCGCTTTATGGAACTACAATGCTCAGGTAAGAATAAAATGGATTTCCTTAAAAAGAAACTAAACAGTGTCATTAGATGGCAAGTGAGCTATCATTCGTGGCAAACGATCGATTTGCTATTCTCAATAAACAGCCAGACGGTTGGTGGTATGCTGAATTACTGGATAATAACAGGAGAAGACGCGGTCTGGTTCCAGGAAACTACATGTCACCCCTTTAAAAGCTTATATTTATAGACTTAATAAACCCCCATTTTATTATAAGGCATATCTAAACTGTGGGTGTTTATCATAAACACCGTCTATTTCTAAGCTGGACATATCTGTTGTCTCAGGCACGCCATGTATTTGATCCCTTTGCTTGTTTTCTCTATCCAACAAGAACCGTAAGAGCGCTGCTGAAGATGCTGCCAAGGTCAAAAATACTAGACAGACGATATGTCCCTTGACATACCGTGGGCCGTCTTCGGTTCGATAGATCTGAGTCCCGAGCATACTAAAACACTGAGCGATCATACTGACCATCGCGATGGCTACACCTCGCTTAGTGTGGCCGAGTTGGTTATTCGAAACCCAGGAGAGAGTGAGGGGTATGATCGGGTAGATGCCGCATGCGACAAGAATTGCTCCTGTGTATCGCAGACCGACGTTGAGACTGGCTAGTAAGAAAATGTAACCAAGGATACCGAGAAAGCAAACGCCAATGATGTGGTATCCTCGCTGGAGTGTACGATCTGAATTCCAAGACACGATCTATAGCAGCATGAGTTAAGTTTTGCAATTCAAAAGGAGATAATTACTCACAAACACCAAGATACTAGCAGCAACGTAGGGTGGTATGGATAATAGTTGTGCATTAAGTGAACTGAATCCCATATCACGAATAATTGTAGGAAGAAAGATGGCAAAACTGGCGAGTGCGATATTTAATCCAATATAAATAATAACTACATCATGTTACTATCTCTCTTTCTTTTTTTATTTTTATTTTTACCTGCTAACCAAACTTTATAATCTATCAAGGCGGCTATGAACTGATGCTTGTCGAACCCATGATGATCTGCGTTTCCACTATTCTTTGTTCTTTGAACGGCAACTTCCTTTTCCTCTTTTGTCAGCCATCGTCCCGCATTTTCAGGCATATCAGGCAACACTATAAAGCTGAGCAAGCCAAGGGCGATGGTTGGAACAGACTCGACAATGAATAGCCATCTACATATACAGTGAAAGAGAGTTTATGTGAATCCTTTTATAAACCTTACCTCCATCCTGCTAATCCATGAACACCGTCCAGATCCTTTAGGACGCCATAAGCTACTGCACCTGCAAAGGCACCAGCAACTGTAGATGATCCAAAATAGATTGCAACTCGTGTAGCCAATTCATTACGCTGATACCAAAAGGAAAGAAACAATGGCGTCGATGGTCCTACACCCGTTTCAAAGATACCCAAAAAGAACCGGCAGGCAATCAAACCTGCAGCGTTGTGGGTAAATGCTTGACTAATTGGCGTCATTTTTTTTATGAATAGATATCCGAGATTAAACTTACCAGAAGGAGCATATACCCCACAAGATCATCGTGCCCGAAATCCATCGTGATGGTCGTAGTCGCTTAACCAACAAATTGGATGGGATATGAAAGATGACGTAGCCTTTTGCATTACGTTGTTATTTGTCATTCTTTGCATCTCTTTCTCTTTTACACACACATACCTGCAAAGAATATGGTCAAGGCAGTATAATAATCATTTCCAACTAAATGCAAATCTTTTTCCAAAGAGCCAAGACGCGCATTGCCAATATTATTTCTATCAAGACTCAACAAGAGATAAAGTATAGATAACCAAGGAATCAATCTGTTGCAAGAGATCAATATGATCTCCTTTCTTTTATCTCGTATTATCCATACCTTAGATCAACCTTTCTCAGCAACGTTTTCTCGACAGCATTAAACTGTTCCTTTTGAGTCATTGTCATGCTACCTCCTGGCGTACTACCACTATCCTCAATCGAATTATAGTTTTCCTTTTTTGAGTTGATAGACACCGTTTGACTCATTAAAAGAAAAGAGGAAAAAGCAAAAAGGAAAGGGAAAAGAAGGGGGAATGATTGTATTTAGTATTGTTTGTGAGTAACTACAGAAAAACAACTTGATTGGCTGATCATTTTCCGATCAAAAAAGAAAAAAAGAGAGCTTGCATTGTATGACAAAGCAAAAATATATGTACATTTCTATTTTATTGAGGTTGTCCCAAAGTAGTTCCAGGACCAGAAGCTGCGGCCTGTAAGATTTCATCTGATGGAATACAGGCAGTAATCACTCTTTGTCTTCCAGGGTCCACAATAGCAACATCTAAGGATATTAGCTTTTTCTGTTCTTTAACACTTTATATCTACCTTTCATGTCTTCTTCATAGTCAATTAATCCTTTTTTTGCTAAAAGCTTCTTTTCATGTCGAACTGCCTTTTCCAATTGCTTTTGTTTCTTTTTTGTCATAACTCTAGTTGTTGTCACAGTAGGTTGAATACGATTTGTTGATTTCTTCATGCTTTTGGCCATGCGTCTTAATTTTTCTTTAGATTGTCCCTTTGCTAATAATCCCATTAGCTTTGCCTGCTTTTTATTCTTTTTCACTTGCTTTTTTTTTATATATACATTACGTTTATTGATGTTACAAATGCCTCCCATTATGATTATTTTGTTATGTTGCGAGAAAAAAAAAAGAGAGAATAATAATAAAAAAAAAAAAGCAAAGACAGTTGTATATCGAGGAAAGACAGTCCCAAAATGTTGCAATCTAGTAAAATAATCATATATTCTTAATGTATTAAAAAAAGAGAAAGAAAGAGATAAACCTATGCTTTGATGTAAAACAGAATATACGCTGTTTGACCAGCATGAATTCTTTCGGATGTTCGGGTATTCTCCTCAGTAACCAAGACATCCTTCTCAGAGACAGGAGTGATCGTCGTATCATCGATATGAAGCCATTCACCATTTCTTCGCTTGATATCACATGTATAATGGCCTCCACCAGCAGATGATCCATGATGATAGACAATGCCAAATAGTTTATATGTTACGCTTTCATTCGGTCGTAACACGGGCACCATCCATTCGGGATTTATCACTAGTTTCGACCCATAGGTCACTCGTTTCGATAGCTTTTGAACACCACCGACATTATCAAATACAAATCGTTTCATATGCAAAATCAACACGGCTGGCAATCTCTCAAAGTAAACCTGTTTGGTTGCTTCCACCTTGATTCCCTTGGGTGAGGTATAATCGTGCATTATCTCAGGTAAGGTCATGTTTGCGATCGCATCCTCCACAGAGTGAACATTTTCAGGTTGAATGTCAAGTGGAAGTGATTGAAATGGTTCGAGGTTGATCGAATCTTTGGCTCCAGGGCAACGTAAGACAGATCGAACCTTGCCTCCAAAAATTTTAGATATAGGTGATTCCTCAAATCCAGTCTACCATTCAAAAAGTAAGCACCGTCATTCTACTTGTAATAAAAGCACTTACAGCACGCAAATTGCTCGTCTTGTTCTTTGCTCCTACTTCTAACCATCCTTCGCCTTTACCTACTACTTCTTCTTCCATTTTTCTCTCTTGTCGTTCCTTTAAGACATTCGTCATTTCTTCATGTAAACCGTCCAAGAGGAAACAAAGAAACTCTTCAGAGTCTTCTTGACGACCACGAAGAGTGTCAAATTTCTTTTGACCGCGTAGTGCGTTATAAACATATTCCGGCACAAAGGGCTCTCCATAAGGTTCCAAAGTGTTATCCAATCGGTCCGTCTGAAATTCGTTGACAAATTCAATGCTACAGGAGTGTGAGCTGTAAATTGTGTGTCTTTTTGATATAACTTACATCGAGTCAAGTAGCGGTGTTTTGCTTTTGATGTTATGAGCTACTTGTGTACTGATCGTTTTGATAAGATTATAAAATGGTGGGCAATGCGATAATGGTTGAAGGATCTATTACACTTTAGCTTCATTCTTTTTATTTGTTCTTTATTCCAACTTACCACATTCATAAAGCATGTGTTCACATTGTTGATCAAGCCCCTAGGCTGAAGTAAAGGTGCATTAAATGTAGGCTCATATTTACTAATGATGTCTAATATAACGAATATAAGTCACTGTCTTTTTATATCGTGTATTTTCTTACCAGCAATGCCAGTAAATTTGGGTGTAATTGAGGGTGTAGGAGAAGTAGAAGTTTTAGGCGTCTGCTTGCCATTGACTGTAGGTGCATTGTTTGGAACAGAGGTACTAGCTGTTGTCGAGGTGGATGAAGAGGCAGAAGATGCTTTCAATTTGTTTTCTGATGTCTTTAACAAAGCAGCCCAACTGGTAGCAGTAGGTTTTGGTTTTGGCTTGGGCGTCTCCACTGGACTGTTAGTACCGTTGGTTATCGGAGGCTTTTTCACTGATTCATCTTCTTTTATAGGTTCTATTTTCTTCTCTTCGCTTGGTTTTTTTCTAGGTGGGATACCTGTGACAAAAGGAGTCTATCATATCATAGTTTAGTTTTCATCCAAAAGAGAATTGTAATAAAAACCTTTTTGGGAGGTGTCAGAGGAACACCGGCAATACTAAGTACAGAATTGATTTCAGCTCGAGTGATTTCACCAAAGCAAAACGAGGGCATAAATATAGCGTCCGTATTCTATAAAAAGAGAGAGATTAGAATGAATAATCACTCTTTCTTTTTTCCATTTTACCTTTCCCGAAGGCATTTTTAAATGTTTGTACAATTGTTATTCTTTTTTCTTTTTCTTCTATATAAATTAATTCACTTGGTTCTTTATATAATACACAATATTCAATGTCGTTTCTTTTTTTTAATAATTAATGCTGAATATAAGAAACTGGTCTACACATAATTTGATATAATTGGCTTTTGATGTTGAAATTGACTTGTCCAGAGTCAATAAATAAACTCTTTTTCTCAGTTGTGTTGATTAAGAACAAAAAAGTAGAAAAAAGGATTAAAAGGGGGGTTGTTCCTCTTTTAAAAAAAAGAAAAAGAAAAAGTAGCAGCAAACGTGTAACGCAGCATTTGTCATTGCACCGCAGTCACGGCTTTTTTTTTCTTTGTTTTTCTCTGTCTCTCTCTCTTTCTCTTTTTACACAAACAGCGCAGTAAAGAGATGCATAAAGGATGCATATCTTGAGAGATGCAACATGTATACATTATTATGTGAGCATACATCAATATCATTATTCCCTTCGTTTTTTGAGCTTTTTGTCTCTGGTTTTTTTTCTCTTTATTTATTTCAGATTCCGCAGCAGCTGTTTCTCTCTTTCTTTTTTTTTTCTTTAAAATGGTTATTCAACAACCTAGCTCACAAATAAAGTAAGCTGCTGCTGTTTATATAATTCACTCTACTTATGACCATAGGCTTACTAATGTGTCAGTCGTTCGTCTTCGAAAGGGCGGTAAACGTTTTGAACTGGCGTGTTATAAAAATAAAGTAATGGAATGGAGAAGCAATGTGTAAGACTTTCTTTTTTTTTTTGGTTACATCACCTAATGAGTCCCCCTTTTAGAGAAACAGATCTAGACGAAGTATTACAGATTCATAATGTATTTACCAATGTGTCCAAAGGGCAACTTGCAAGCAAGGAAGACTTAAAAAAATGCTTTAAAACAGAAGAAGTAGATAAAGTGATCCAAGAGGTATGTTTATATGACTCTTGCAAACAACTCTTTTATTCATACCACTGTAGATTCTGAAGAAGGGTGAATTGCAAGTTGCAGAAAAGGAAAGATCAAATCAACTGGAAACTCTGTGGAAAGATATTGCCAACATTGTGACAGACAACTGTGTGAACCCTCAAACAAAACGTCCATATACAGTCACAATGATCGAAAAGGCAATGCAAGACCTTCATTTGAGCGTCAATCCTAAACGTAGCGCCAAATCTCAAGCATTAGATGTGATCAAGCAACTGCAAGAGAAACAGGTACTGCCTATCCAACGTGCACAGATGCGTATCAGAATCACATTACAACAATCAAAAGAATCAAAAAAACTACGCGAGAGTATCTTGCCTCTGCTGACATCCGTTGAAGATGAAGATGCAGGATCATCCGAGATTGAATTGGTAAGCGTCTTGATTTTTTTTTTAAAAAAAAAAAAAAGGAGAGAGATCATTATTAACTTGTTTATAGGTTGCATTGGTTGATCCTGGTAAATATCGTACAATCAATGATTTATTACAAAACGAATCCAAAGGAAAAGGACAGTTAGAAATCATGAATCTAAGAGAAAAGGAAGAAGGAGATGAAAGGTTTTAAAATATAGGTGAATTTAGAATAAAAAGATTATCTTCGTTCTTTTTGATCCATCTTAATAACTGATTTGAGCTTGAAATGATCAGCTGTTTGGGAGTATCACTCGGGAATACGACATAGAGTTCAAATGAGGAAGTAATCTATATTGAACATTAGAAGACTGAAATACTATTCAAAACTCTTACCCATCCCAAAAGCGTTTCTTTCTCGCCATTCATATAGTACAACTTGAGTGGTCTTGCTCTATGATGCATTCTATCATGTAAATGCTGATACAGTCTATGTAATCTCTTTTTATTTTCATCTTCAAGATATATTCCGCTTAATTCTGGTGTTGTAAACTGCACCTGAACCTTGGATTTATATATAAAGTGAAGCAACGAAGGTACTTGTGTGTCCTCTACTGTGTATCCTCCTTGCTTGATGTTTGCTAAAACATCCTGTTTCTGTAACAAATCAACTATCTTTGTCTTCCACTCACTTATCTCAAAAAAGTTGCCTTTATCCATACTGATCACCACAATCGACGTATCCTTTTCGATATAACAGATATATGCATGCAGAAACCCTTTCGAGTTAAACTTGGGCAAGCAGAGTGGTGTCCATGACTCAGCTGTATGAAACGTACTGGATCCATTCAGCATGTTGAAGAGTAAAAGAAGGTCAGACGGATGTAAGCTATTTTTCCTCGGTCGTAAGAGTGTAACCAGTCGGCCTTTTGACACGATGAGAGCATACAACATATTCTTTTGATGTATAAGCACAACTTTCCCCCTTTTTTTTTAATTCTTTTACCTTGACTTTGCCTTCTGCTAATATTGATCCCACTTGATCTCTTATTGATTTATTCACACGAAGGCATTGTAGGGCACTTAACATAAAACTATGATCATGACTAAACGATGTTGACAGGCTGTCTAAAAATATCTCGGTGCCTTTTTGTGATATTTAGTAACAAACCATCATAAATATTTAGCAAACAATCATCTTTACCTCCCAGTAGCCGTCTTAGATCAAAATTGACCCTTTGCTCAAATATCTTTGTCAGCTGTACATTTGTGAGCACACTGAGTATTTGATTGTGTAGATAAAGTAACTGATCACGTAACTATAGTTTACTTTCATTATTTAGTTTCCCTTGTCGAATATTGAGACTATCTTCGTTTTCTCTTTTATCCTTACTTGACTATCTGATTCGCCTGTTCTTGAAACGCAGACATAGTAAAGAGGTTCCTTTAATAGAAACACAAAGCTATGTTCACCAGCGTGTATCGTCCTAAATTGCATAAAAATGATCAATAGAACAGCTTTGCATCATCTTTAGATATTTACTTGATGGTATCGTCACTATCTTGAAAAAACGAGATGATGGCTTGGACAACTCCCATTAAGGAGGATAGTCTGGACTCATCTCCGTACCTTTTTATCATATCAGCGTCATCGGTCTCTTTTTGATATAAGCCTACCTTGTCCATACTGGCTTTCCTGAGTTACTAAGAATAAAAAAGTGTTTTCTATGTTGCAACCAACTATTGGATTCTAGTCGTTTGATGAGTTATTTTTTTTTTTATCTGTGCCATAGCTCATATACCTGGTTGTTCTCCTATTGAACTTCTTGAACCTTGTCTTTTCACCTTATTAAAGCCTTTGATAGGATCACTTAGATCCGAATGAAGAGAATCAAAAGAGGATGGTTCTATCATGCCTTTTTCAGCAGAGTTTTCGCTCTTACTACTTGAGCTATCACACAACATGGGCGAGTCATGCTGTTCCATTCTATTAAATATTATATATTTATATGCAAATAAGAGAAAAAGCGTAAAAAATGAACCAGCTGTGTCTGATTATAAAAGCATTCTAAACTCCGGAGTGAAGTGAAGTATCCCAAGATGATCAATAAGTCATCGGCTTAATAGGCCTTTTTTTTTTTCAAAAGGCTAAATACAACAGATATATATATGAAGATTCTCTTTCTGGACCCAGTGTAGAGATGATTCGTCATTTGTTTGATTTGTATGCTTTGGGCTACTAGCTCTCTAACGGATCTATATATTACCATTGCACGGCCAGCCATTCGAAGCATTTGAAACCATATTACAAACTTTCAAATATGTGCCAGGGAGCTACAAGACAAGTTTTTTTCGTGATTTCCTTTGAGAAGAACGTTCATACCACACTATATGGTAATTGACACCTTGACCCTAAATACTCAAATCTTAAAAAACCCGGTAAGGGAGGTAGTAACGCCGGGTGCAAGTCGAAGTTAGTAAAGTAAGATGACGACATTAAATATGCTGAGAAGCTAGAAAAAGAAGAACTAACATCGATCAAAGAAAAGAGCGTCCTTATAGATCCTAATCCTTGCGACCTTCTTTTTTGTATGCATGAAAATAGCATAGTAAAAGACAAAAGGTTGTTTAGATATACCAGCAATCAGAGGTCTTTAAAAACGAGGTCGAGAAAATTCAAGAAGCTACGCCAAGAAATGGTCGTCTGATATTGGCCCCTTTCTTTTTGCAAACATATATCGCACAGCCCTTAGTTCGCTTAGCTTCTCCTGCTTATATGCTACTTCGTCAAGCTCAGGAATGTTTTCTGGCAAAGAGACTTTGTATCGAGCAAGACTAACATAAAGACCAAGTGCAGTAAGATGTAGCGTACTAATATCGATAGATGGGGCCAGTTAATTGTAACATGAACGGAAATAAAGTACTGTATTGATTCTGTATAAAATAAGCTTGAATATCTTTACCCTCTTGGGTGAATTTGCTTTTGTCTTGTATGATATCGTCATCACCTAAATAGTAGACGACTTCCCCATTAACAAGTTCATAATTACTACTATTGTAGCAGTAAACGATTCTAATGTCAATTTTAAAACTAATCACGCTCTTAGCTTCACTGTATATCATTTTTTTCTTTATAGTGCAAGAGGAATTACAGGGCTCAGAACTGAATACAAAAAATAAAGCTTACCAAATGACGCGAATAGGTTTGTCTTTGACAGATAACACTTTGAGTAATGGTGACAACAAAACTCTGATATAGCCATTTTCAAGCATTTCAAATTCAAGAGCATTTGAACAGATATTCATAATAATTCTTAATACAGAAAGCGATGATTCGAAATGGAAACACTGTACACTTATGCTAACTCCACTGCCTGACTTTGGGCAAAAGTTCCTCCATTGACCTCCCTTTACCCGACATCTCTCGACCTGGCCCTTGTTTCCCTCCCGTGTTACTCGGTCTTCATTTATTTCCTTCATTTTTTTCCCTTTGATCTCAAAAGGGTTTTTAGATTCCATGTACGTTTTTGATTTGGCACAGGCGGGACGAAATTATATCTATTTTTCTTCATAAAGTATCTGTTTAAATACACAGCATATACAATAAACACTTGAATAGACATGAAAGAGAAGGTGTTCCTCTTCCAAAAGTATACATGCCATGCTTGGACAAAGCTGTTGATAACGTAAACTTATGATGTAAGTATCACAATATCAAATCAGTCTATAAACGGATACACTATCATTACTATTGTTGTCTTTATTCAGTATTTAACTTTTGTTATTCAACATATGAGAAAATAATTCATTCGAGTGCTCGTTTCGTTTAAAGTACACAAACAGAGCCCGTATATTGTATAAGCTATTTATTATACTCATTAAAGTCATGCATGATAGCTCTATTTGCATATTTAATACTATAGATTAACTGAGTATCACATGGTCAATTCTTTCATTATGTTCATATTTCGATATAAGAAGTGTGGAGATAAAACGATTCATAAGAATGATATTGTTGCCTAATTAAATGTATGGAGAAGGGGAAAGAGCTTTATTACAGAATGCGATAGTGGATACAGGAGCATACAATGATTAAAGCATAATCCAATATACTTTCCATTCGTAAAATTGTTTTCACTAGTATTAATCAACTGTAAAACTTTGTAGAAATTACTGTGATATATATCAATTCACATGCTTTTAAAATCACAAAGTAATACTAGTGATGAGCCGTTCTTTTAGTGAGCCAGCTCTCTGCCATTGACTATTCTACTTGCGTCACAATTCAAGGGTAACTCAGGGAGATTGTTTACAATACAAATAACTTTTAAACTAACAACATCCATCAGTTTAAAGATCATCAGTAAGTCAAAAAATGAACAGGTCATTCGTCTAGTGTTTATGTAAAAGAAGAGATGCCTTTTTACACCCAAAATACATCTTAAAGAAGTGTGTTGATCATATCGATAGGCTTTTAAATGTCTTCAAATACCTCTAGTAACTAGAAACGAATGTTTTATTGAATAGGTGTATGCAATGATTTTTGGATAAACAACTATTTGTATTTTATGATAATAAAATGTTCACTAAGTAAAGTTGTATATGTGTAATACACACATTTCTTTGTCTCTATGTTTATTAATTTTATTATAAAATTATTTACCTCGTGGACTAGGCTTTTCCAAGAAGCCAAGTTTCTCACTTCCATTATTGGAATTCGCTGACAAACAAAAAGACTCACCCTGAAGGTTGCTCCCCCCGCCTACAATCGGGACTAATCGCCGCCACTTTTTTTTCCTCCTTAATTATTTTTGTTTCTACATATTCTCTGCAGTGAATTTATCATAGCGTAAGAGCTGCATGCTACAGAAAGAATGAATTCTATAGGTGCACGCTAGATTGCAGTAGTCTAAAATATGAGAGTATTTTAAGAAATAATAATAATAATATTTAATCTATATATTTATATTTACCTCATTTTAGCTTCTCAGAACTTGTTATATGAGAGATATTGAGCTCTTTTTTTTTTTTTAGATGTTTGACATAATGGACTTACCCAGAAAGGGTCCGCTCACATGAATAGATAGTGATAAGCTAATGAAACTATTTACAAGAATGTCAATCACATTATATTGAAATATCATCATTGTTTTATGCTACACAAAAATTATTTATAACTTGCTCTGTGTCCTTGCGGAGCCACGATAAATTCAGGGAGTTCTTTGTGCTATTGGACATAAGCCACGACTGTACTTTATTTTTTGTATGAGGCATTTTTTCTTGTGGCCCAGTTTAAATAAAATCAACCAAATATGGTAGATTATATATTTCGCCCCCCATCACCTCCTCTCTCTCTCTCTCTCTCTCTCTCTCTCTCTATTCTCTTCTATAAAAATTTTCTTTCTTTTTCTTTCTCTTTCATATCACTTTTGATTTCTATACCCTCTTAAGGAATGACGTCTTATTCTGCCAACATACACAGATTATCACCTGGAGATATTTGGTTACCAGATAATAGAGCATCATCCATCATCGTCACTGATCTAGCCAAACAACAAACTGCAACTACAATGACCACACCTCATCTAAATCCTACTTCAACTTCATCCAGTACAACCTCATATTCATCCACTTCTTCCGCATCTTCTTGCTCAATACCCATACATCCCACCGAATGCTCCAAAAATGCTAGACGTCACCGTGCAGATACTGCAAGTCTAAAAGAATACGGTGAATGCTACAGACGACTCGGACAGGGCACCACTGCTGTCGTCATGGTGGTTCGTCAGCTTGGTGAGGATGGTAGATCAGAAAAACTGTATGCGATCAAACAGTTTAGAAAGAAAAGAAAGCACGAGAGCGAAAAAGAATACATGAAGAAACTGACCAGTGAATTCTGTATCTCATCTACCTTTTCTCATCCCAACGTGATAGAAACGATTGATCTCGTCTTGGATGAACGGAAACGGTATTGTACCGTGATGGAATATGTAAGAAAAAAAAAATTTCATTAAAAAACGATCATTGAACCAAATTTGGTAGTGTCCCGGTGGTGACTTATTCACATGCATCATGGCCGAAAGAATGACAGAACTTGAAAAACTGTGCTGTTTCAAACAAATGCTTCAAGGTCTAGCTTATCTCCACTCTATGGGCGTTGCTCATCGTGACATCAAGCCTGAGAATCTTTTGCTTACTATGGATGGCACAGTCAAGATCACTGATTTTGGTGTATCTGATGTCTTTCGCTTCCCTTGGGAATCCAAAGGTCGTCAAAGTCGTGGTCTGGTCGGTTCAGAACCTTATATTGCACCAGAAGCTATCGAGAATAAAGAATATTGGGGACATCTTGCTGACGTTTGGTCTGCCGGTATCGTCTTTTACTGTATCTGTGTCGGCGGACTTGCCTGGCATATTGCCAAGAAAACCGATCACTCATACGCCAATTATCTCCGAGCACTGGAACAACAGAAACTTTACGAATTATTTCGCCCTCTTGGTGCCAATGAGCGCCGTATCATCCATCGCATGCTTGATCCTAATCCTTCTACCCGTATCACCAGCTCTGAACTGTTGGAAGATGCTTGGATCAAGTCAATATCCGTTTGTAATAATAACTCAGTAGACGACATGAATCGAGTTCATAAGCATACAGAAGGTGTTCAACCCGTTTGCACTCTAAGCAAAAAATAACTCTAATTTTTCTATGCATTTTTTATTTAATTCCCTTCTTCATGTATATTATCCATATGTATATATTTATGTATTTATATTTTATCATTTCTCTATTGCTACTATGCCCTCCCTTTCTTTATAATATTCATTCATTCAAAAAGACTTATGTGTTGCTCTTTTTATGTACATAATAAAAATATATATATTTTATTGTCTAGAAGCCGCATTATTCACTCGACTATCCCAATCAGATTTTCTAAAATCTTGTACTGAGTCCTGATCAGCTTGTAAAGGGGAATAATCTTCACTCTTAGATTCTCCATATGCTAGGTTTTCCTTCATCGTTCGCTTGGGTTCTCGGAGTGGAACTTGTCCATAGGCTGTGTTCTTGGGTGTCAGCGTATCGGGTCCTTCAGAAACCAAATGAGGTTGGTCGTTGAGGTTTTCTGTTTGTTTGTTATCCATGACGATGTTGCAAAAAAAAAAAAAAAAAAAAAAAAAAAAAGAGAAACTTTTGAATCTTTCTTTTATAGCTTATGATTTAGTGCATAAGTCTGAGTTGTTATTTCTTTTTGCTTAATGGTAAAGATAAATATCTAAAGTACATTTGAACCACAACACCCTGTCCTATAAAATGATATAAATATCATTACTCTTACTGCAGTTCTCGTAACCTCCATTGCTTCAGAAAAAACAGACAAAGTAAAAATAAAACAAGCGTATTATGTCATAGTTAGTTCACTCGCTGCTTCCATACTTGGCATATTTTATAAAATGTGAGGGGCTGCCGCTGATGAAATATATCATAGTATATCATCATATACAGAAGCTTTAATCAATAAAACCACGTTATTAAAAAAAAAAAAGAACATATATATAAAGAGAGGGATCATAAGATGAGAGGGAAAGCATAGGTGAGGGGAGGGGGACATAATGAATCAAGGTCATGGTACAATTTCATTAAGATGACTGTTGTTGTTGTTCCAATTCACGCTTTTGTTGATTCAAAATCATCTGTTCAATCTGGCCGTCCTTCTTCTCTACCAACAGAGCCTTTAACCATTTAACTTCTCTTTCGAGTTCATGTACTCGTTCTTCAAACACTCTAGCCTTCTCGGTCATCTCTGCTGCTGTCTGCTGAAGAGCCTGCTCACGTAATTTTTTCTTGACACGGAACCGAGCACTTGCAGCCGTATTTCTGCGTCGTTTATCTTCCTTGCTCAAGGGTTGAATCGACTTTCTTCTTCCAGTCTGGTCTTCTTCAGTCGCGTCTTGAGATTCTTGCTGCTGTCCTGACAATGCCTTCATTGTTTCCATAAATTCTTTTTCGTCATATTCGCTATGGACTGTCTGATCATAGATGACAATAGGTGGATTAATGATCGTCTCAAACATGTCAGACTGCTGTCCAGGAAGCAGACCGTTGGGAGGTGTTGGATTGGGTGAGATGCTAGGAGGCGAAACGTTGGGTGAGTAATATCCGTTGGGTGGTGAGCAAACGGGAGAGTGGTCATAGAATCTGGAAATAGCATCTATTTGATGACATGTGAGCTAAAAAAGAAAAGAAAAAGACAAAGTATTTACCAGGAGACATCATTGTTGGGTTATTGTGATCAGCAAGAGAAGCCAACTTGTGATGGATGAGTGAATGTATATCGCTTTCAGACGATTTTTTGTTATCATAAGTAAATTGAACATTAGCAAAGATGGATAGTTCATCTTGTAAGTCTGCTTCAGAAAGAATGTTGGACGTATCCATGATTTGATTTAAAGAATCAATGATTGCGGCTATATTAAAAGTTATTTCACATTATTTATTATAAAATGCTCATCATTACAGTCATTATTATTCATTGTTTTTGTTATTTATTTTGTTTAAAAAGAGAAAAAAAGAGAGAAATAAGAATAGAGAGATTACTTTTATAATTGTGTGGCACAGGAACAAAAAGGGTTTTGTCATGTGTAATACGAACAAAAGTTTACTGCTTGTATTGAACTCAGGTTAAAAATATAAATAAAAAGACTATTGTTTATTCTTATGAAGAGATATTTATATATATATATATATGTCATTTTGCCATCATTTACACAAGCATAATATGAAAAAAGAGAGAAATGGCTTGGGCAAGAAGAAGAAGAGGGGGAGGTAACATATGTCGCAATTCAGTAAGAGAAGACGCATTAAATCACGCAATTTGTATTATATCTAAGTGGATTCTAACGGAATTTAAAAAATCTCTGCATTTTGTTTAATGTCAACGTACAGTCGAGATCATCTAGGTCTAGCATAGGACTATCACTTTAATATAAAAGCAGTCAAGTTGATCATGATAAATAACGTACTTTTTGTTATCTTTAAAATAAATGATTTCTCGAGAAAAACACCACCTCTTGTAGTGAAATCACAAGAACAGCCTTTGCATCCCAATTCTTGCTTTCATTCTACTCTTTATTTTCGTGTATGTCTTTATTTCGATCAAGTCAGAAAAAAGAGTTTTGAATTAAAATGTTGGATGTTCTCAATCCTGATTTTGATATCTGTTGTATATATTCAATTATTATCACAAAAGTTTCTACCAGCAGTAAGAAAGGGTTATGAAAAAAAAAAAAAAGATGAGGAATACCCAGGCATGCATATTAAATAATCACACATCAAAAGAAGGGAGCAATATGACAAAAGGCTAAATAAAGGAATCATGTGATACTCTCTCTCCTCTCTCTTTTTTGCGCCGATAAGATAAAAAATGATCTTCATCTTCCCCCCGCCCCTCGGACCGAGTGGCATTTAACCGAAAAAAAAAAACCAGCTTTTCCCTTTTTCTTTTTTACTATTATTTATTATGCGGTCAAGGAGACAAATAGTACTACCAGTCTTTCTTGGCCAACTGCTTTCACTTTGTATAGTTGGAACAAGTACTGCCTCATCTGCTCTATGGAATCGCTATGGCATCAGCATACCTTTTACTCAAAACTTTTGTAATTACTTACTACTGGCAATCATTTATGGTAGATCAGCTCATAAATCATTTAAATTTTCTTGGCATTGTAAAGTATATAGATAGATACATATTCAATCAATACTCATGCCTATAGCAGTCGTAGGGTTTTCTTTTGCTGATGTGGGAGGCAAGAGATGATGACAATGTGTGTAACATACACTGACAGTTTTGTTTTTAGGAAATGTATTGGCCGTATTGGCTTTCAAGAGCACATCTCTCCTATCAGCATTAGTACTATCGTCATGGACAATTCCTTGCGTTATGCTCCTTTCTACTTACTTTCTTCATGCAAAATACAGTCTGGTTCACGTGAGAAGTGCAGTGATATGTTTGGCTGGTCTTGCATTGCTCATATGGTGTGATACAATGGCAACGGATGACGCTACAGGTAGACTAATAGGATAATAATGGAACCCCATGATTCATATGTTGCTATTAGCAAATCATAGCTGGATTGGAGACATCATATGTGTAAGCTATATCCTAATTGCTCTTTGTGGATGAACTCATGATTAGGTTAGCTTATGAGCGCGACTTCATATGCAGTATGTAATGTAATAGAGGAGCATCTCGTCAGCCATCACACGACAGCCGAAATTCTAGGCAAAGCAGGTCTACTAGGATCACTGATGTGTGGAATACAAGCGTAAGATCATCTTTACACACAATAATGATGTGTCATTTATACAGCTTATGTTGTAGATTATATTTTGAATATGATACTGTGATAAGCACACAATGGACTTTAGGCAGTGGTAAGCAAAAAAGAAAAAAGAAAAAAAGAGGCTAGTTCCATGCTTATCATAAGCCTAACGAATGATAGGTCTATTGGTTGCAGGCTATGTTCTCTGTCTCTTCACAATGTACTCGCTTGTGCCCACAGTCTACAGAATGACAAGTGCCACTTTTGTCAACATGAACCTGATCACGAACAATTTTTATTCATTACTCGTTGGATTATTCTTTCTGAATGCAAAGGTAAGAAAAAAAAAGAAAAAGAAAAAGTGAGGGGAACAAGAAGTGATGTTCTCTATGTGATAGATGCCTCCGTTTTATTTAGTGGCATACATATTGGTCATAACAGGTGTTATATCCTACAGCTTAGCGCCTTCAACAACAGATAATGACAGCGAAGAACATAGACAGATTCTTAAATCATCAGACCATTCGATAATATCCTATACCTAGACATCTACACATATATGCGTTGTAAATAAATTATTTATTGATAGATGTGGTTTATTAGATAGGGGATTCGTAATCAGGCATCTTTTCCTTGATGAGTCTTTCGGTATAATCCCATAATTCCAGTGGATGATCGTTATGAGCAGCAGCGCCCCAAGGATTAGAGACAACACCAAATGGCACGCAGTATTTTCCTCTGATATCCTTTTCTTCTACTTCAGGACTTGTGGCAAGATAGAGTTGAGTCAATGCACCATCCTCTGTGGAAATAAAAATCAAATTGCTCAACCACTCCTTCCAAGACCCAGGTTTGTACAAATGGCGGAACAGATCACTGCGAACAACGCCTGGGTGATTGCAGTTGACATAGACGTTCTTTATGCCTTTATTTTCCAGTCGCTTATTGAGCTCTCTTGTAAACAAGATGTTGCAAGCCTACACAAAATGTATCAAACTTGTGTTTATTTAAGAAGAAAAAAAAAAAGGAGGTCTGCTTACCTTGGACATGGCATAATGTTGTATTGGACTATAGCTTTCAGGATCACTTATACTTTCGAGGTCAAACTTTTTCCAGAGTAGCGTATGACCCAAAGAGCTCACAGTGACAACACGAGAAGGTGTGGATGCTTCTAAAAGAGGAAGTAGAAGCATTGTCAAGTAATGATGTGCAACATGGTTGGTAGCAAACTGTGTTTCGATACCTATTAAACGTGTAAGTGTACCGTGTATGCGTCTGATATCGGTTTACTAACCATCTTCTGAGAGAGCAAAAGGGCACATCATAACGCCAGCATTATTCATCAAGATGTTGAGTTGCCCATATCGAGACTTGAACTCGTCTGCGAATTTTTTAACAGAGGCAAGTGACATCAAGTCAATTCTTATACAATCGACCTTCTTGTTACCCGTTGCCTCTATTATTTCTTCGACAGCAGCTTGACTTCTCTTTTCATCACGCGCTGCAACAATGCTTTAATAATTATGTGAGTCATAGAAACATATAGACATGTTTACATACACTGTACAGCCTTTTCTTGCCATTTCTGTTGCACATACTTTGCCAATCTAATAATAAGCTGTCATTAAACAATAGCCCTAATTAAACACACCACACACACTTACACCACTACTGCTTCCAGTCACAATGGCAACCTTGCCTGTCAGATCAGGAATTTGTTCAAAAGAGTAATTTCGCTTTGACCAAAAGTCTCTCATTTATTCTTGCCTTTAGACAAAGAGATAAAGAAAAAAAATTGGAAAATCATATTTCCTTTTTATATTTCAAAGTTACCCCGCAGGTTTTTTTTTTTCCTTTCTTTCTCTACATGAAGCTGGGTTTATCTACCTATCCTTCTACTTGCCAGTTTATTCTCTCTTGTCACCTTCTCTTCAATTGCAATTAAGGAATCAATTACAATCTGTGATTTTTTAATGTTTATTGGGAATAATGAAATATATGAAGGATATATTCATTGTTATCTCTGCCCGAGTCATCAAGGGCAATCCTAAAATAGGGTGTATACGTGGCAGACGTAATACAAAGGTCCACGCATAATTTATTGGCTGTGAAAGCCATATGAAAGATGGGCACTCTAGAAGATTTGTCATTCTTTTTTTTTGCTCTCTTTCTCGGTATCAACGAGAGCTGCTCATTAACCAAGATTTCATTGAACATGATTGTGGCCTTTCCTTTTCTTTAAGTATGACTACTGTTCATAATGAAAGCAAGTGTAACATTACTTTTTTTGGTATATGTTTAATAGACTTGTTTAAAATGGTCAGATAAGCTGTATCAAATAAAACTAAGTTTGTTATGACGAATGGTATTCAAAGAGAAGTCCAAGGTCTTATAAGGCTGTTTGTTGCTTCCCTTCTATATCCATACGGCAATTGACATGATGACTGAAGCACCCATATTTTGTTGTCAAGGTGCAGCATATATAATACTTTTACCTTATTCTTCAGCTTGTACTTGGTTCATTTAGTTGCTTGATGTTGAAATCTAAAACACTAAAAAAATGGCCGCGCGAATATTGAATGATGAAGGTCAGAGAGCGAATGAACAAGAATAGATGAGCATTTCAAATTTGCACTCATTCAGGCAAACACTGAATTAGCTCATCTGTTTGTGAAATAAAATGTTGTCAGTAAGTGCTATCTGAAGTGCATAAAGTATTGCCCGTACATAAAAATGAGCTTACGTCAAGAAAAATGATTGGATGCTGCTAAAAATGGTTTTTACCTAAACTTCTGTAGGACCCTTTTGTGCATAGACACAGGCACGTGGGGTGCTTTATGATGTTTATAGTCTTGGGCACGTTACACGTTGGCATCATCAGGAGTGAGTAAATAAAGCAACAAATATTTCCCTTGACGACTGTTACCCGTAGCAAAAATAAAAAACATGTGTTTGCATATATAAAATAAGAACCACTCACAAGTATACATTTATTCACACCAATAAAAACAATCTAAATTTAGAAACCAGAAAATATGAAATAGAGAGATGCAAGATTTATTCAAGATTATTTACAAAAAGGAATATAGAAAAAGAGATATGTTACAAATGAAAGGATATAAGTCGATTCATGGATTCGTCTGTGATGATCTGTGATTGGCCTTTGCTTTTGATTCCAAAGAAACTTTCAAATGTCCATTTATCGACTCTTGTTTCTTTCATTTCTTCTTTTATTGGCATGAGTCGTTTCTTGTTGTGATCGTTTCGAAGGTAAATAGGTTCTATGTCCGACTGATTAAATGGCATATTGTGAAAGACATTGAGTTGAATGTTTATAGGCTGTGATTTCTTTGCCCCATTTATACTTTTTTAAATGGCGCGTGTGACTGACATGTGGCTTATTATGACGGAAGTGTGTAAATTTGCTGCATAAAGAAAGACGGCATTTTCGTTGTCCAAGAAAGGGAGAGATTTGCTAGAACCGTATGGAAATAACGAAATATTTGAATCTAGCAAAATACTATTCTTGCCCTATTTCTTTTTAAGTATCACATTTCATCTGATTAATAATCCCCTCCCGATCTTTGTCTTTCTCTCTGTCTTTGGCGTATTCAAAATAAAATGAAAACGGTCCAAGGAGTTCATTTAATAGATAAGGAGATAATGAAAGGAGATGATTAATTACTATATTAAGTGACTATTTACATTTGTGTATGCATGAGGCAAATACATATGCATCTGATTACGGCATTTTTTTCTTGTTCTCATAAACTGTGCTAATTGATCTGATTAAACTATAAACACAAAATATTATGCAGTCTAACAAAAAAGGAGGATGTTGTTTATTTTTATACGAAGTACTAATACATCAATGGTCTATAAGCCTTTTTTTCTTTTTTTTTTATGGAACAACTTCAAGAACAACCATCTTGCCTTGCAGCATATGGGCTGTTATATGGCAATGGACTGCCCAAACTCCAGGATTATTCTATATAAAAATATTAACCAAAGAACTAAACCTTGGCCATTACTAAACTTACTGCATAAAGTCGAATCTTGATCCAACCACAAGGACGTTCACCAGGTATATCTGGCCAAAGATACTGCATAGACACATCTCTGAGCAAAGGTTGCTGATACGTAAATACACTTTTATGTTCGTCATGGTCATAGTCTCCGGGCCCTTCTGCAATCAAGTAATGTGAGTATCCGTGTGTGTGCCATGGATGTGTGACGCAAAGGCCAGCTTCGTTCTTCATGTTTTGAAAGACGATATCGATGACCTCACCGAGTTTGACGGGGTACGTCTGATGCTTAACTGAGAAACCGTCGATAGGATCGAGTGGGCCAGGATCAGGGTCAGCCTTGATGATGTCCAAGAGTGATGCTGTATCATTACCCCAGGGCTTATGCACACGTCCGTTATTTTGAAATTGTGTAGTATTATCGGGCATTTTGACCTGAGCCATGCTCAACTTGATTGTGCGAGAGGGACTTGTAGTAAGAATTGTAGGATTACTATGGTTGATTGGCTTGAGATCACGTAGGATCCATCCGTGATCTTGAGGTGGAGTGGTGATCGGGAGATTCTTGGGTGCATCAGTAACGCGAATGGCTGATGCGCTCTTGGTCTTGTCACTGACATAGCGGATATACCCAAACCCACTGGGCGAGTACGTCTTGTGGTAATTGAAACTCCATTTATAGAATGAAGCGATCGGAAACAAAGTACCGTCCGGATAGTTACCGGTTTGGATCAAAACCGAGCTACGTTGACCGGGTGTCAGTTCTAAATGGTCAATCAACTGAGGCTGTACGTACTCCCCGTCAAGTTCGATTAAGGTCATGTTGTGATGCTGAATGAAGAGACCGAGCACTCGAAAGGTCAGTCCGCCAATGTTTCGGAGCCTGTAGATCGAGTTTGGCTTTACATCAATCATGGCAAACCCTGGGCAGTTTTCCATTGTGCAGTTCTCATAGACAGACTTGCCATTCAACAGGATACTATCAGGGCCAGTATCGCCGTCAAAGGTTGGACTCGTGTAGTAAGCTTGACGATCATACATTGATTGGTGCCACCATTCGGACCACAGGAGGATACGTTCTTCATGATATTCAAAGGGTCCCTCTTGAATAAGGCCTTCTGACAGCATCTCTTTCTCTGCCTTGATCAAGGACTCTTCGCGCTCGTACACGATGAAGGAACCTTGTATTGAATCGTCTTGAACACCCACATGTGCATGGTAATAGAATGTACCTGTTTGATTGACAATCTGAAATTCTTGGCGGTACTCGCAGCCTGGAGCCACAGGCACCTGTGTGATTCCGGCAACGCCATCAGCCTGATTTGTGCCAAATTGAAGGATACCATGGATATGGACGCTTGTCGACACGTTGCTCTCGCCGCTGTTCTTGATAATAAATTCAACTGTGTCACCTACCACTACACGAACTGTAGGTGCTGGATATTGGCCGTTGACAGTCAATACGGCATAGGACTGATTGAAGCAATCTGGGTTGAGGAGTGTAGGCTGGATATTAAGTTCAAATGTCCTCTTCTTGGCCTCAGCAGGTACAACGGCCATCAAGATGGCCATCAAGTAGAGCGCCAACAAAATAAACATTGAGTAAGACAATGGAAAAAGGGAACAATGGGGGTCAATTGAGACTTATTTATACAAGTAAAAAAAAGAACCATCGAATCAGGATATATATAATTCTATAAATAAACTTGTTGCTTAAAGAAGTAGGGCCATATATCGTCTGATCTACTTGTTCAGATAGGATTGCACAATGATATCAATACTTACATAGAGGGCACACATGAATTAAATCCCAGACAATAGTGACAGGAGGAAATGAAGTGATTAGATTTTTGTTTCTTTTTAAACATGTCTGTTTTAGAGATTGCCCGTTCTGCCAGACTGGCCTCTGTAAGCTTACAATCAGTAACGAATGAACAAAAAAACCAAGCGCTGCTACGTATAAAACAAGTTTTGAGTGAACGAAGACAGGAAATATTCGAAGCGAATGAACGGGATAAACAGGTATGCAAGTACTTTATTTTTATATTATATATTACTCAACATATAAAAATAGACTGCCAAAGAACTCGTAGAAGCAGGAAAGCTTTCAAGCTCATTATATAAACGCTTGGACATTTGTCAAGGAGATAAGTTTGACACCATCTTGTCTGGTGTGAGCGACATAACATTCCTTCCAGATCCCACCAAAAAGATCACCTTGGCCACCAAACTGGACGACGGTCTTGAACTCTACAGAGTGAGCGTACCTGTTGGCGTGCTGTTGACCATTTTTGAAGCTCGTCCAGAAGTCGTTGTCAATATTTCCTGTTTGGCCTTAAAGTCAGGCAACGCTGTGATCTTGAAGGGAGGTAAAGAGGCAACACAGACAAATGCTGCTCTGGCTCGTGTGATTCAGGATGCGTTGGCCAGTTTAGATACGATCCCTAAGGAAGCAGTTCAAATCGTTGAGACACGTGAGGATATCAGTGCACTTCTCGACCTTGATCGCTATATTGATCTGGTGGTGCCCAGAGGCAGTAACAGTTTGGTCAAATACATCCAGAACAATACAAGGTAAAAATTTTCTCATTTCTTCAACGGTTCCCCTCATGTGTATATTTATAGAATTCCTGTTCTTGGACATGCAGATGGTATCTGTTCAGTCTATGTGGACAAGGACGCTGATATCGATAAAACAGTTAAACTCGTCGTGGATTCCAAAACAAACTATACAGCTGCCTGTAACTCTGCAGAGACCCTGCTTGTTCATGAGTCATTATTAGGCACTGATCATTTCATCAAGATCGCCGACGCTTTACTCCAAGCTGGTGTCACCTTAAAGTGCACCAGTCACGTCCGAGACGTCTTGGTGAACAGTGATGCAATCACCACCAAAAACAAGATTGAAGAGGCAGTCGATCAAGATTTTGACACAGAGTTCTTAGATTTGGTTATGGCCGTAAAGTCTGTACCCGATGTCGAAGCAGCTGTGATGCACATCAACGATCATGGGTCAAAGCATACGGATGCAATCATTACTGAAAACAGGCAGACAGCCGATTATTTCATGACTCGGGTCGATGCTGCTGGCTGTTATTGGAACGCAAGTACACGATTTGCGGATGGGTTCCGTTATGGATTTGGTGCTGAGGTCGGTGTCAGCACGAACAAGACACATGCTCGTGGTCCTGTCGGTCTTGAAGGTTTAGTCATTTACAAGTATAAACTCATTGGTCATGGTGACATCGCCGGTGATTATGGTACGGGTAAAAAGAAGTTTAAACATGAATCCATTGATCCCTCCGAATACAAGGTGTAAGTAAGTTTTTTTTCTCTCTTTCTTTCTCTCTTCCTGCCAAGGAAAGTAAAAAAATAAAAATAGCTTCCTTATTTCTATCTTGACTGGTTTTTATTACAAGTGTGGTATATATATAATTAGGACAGTGGGAATCTTAAATATTATGCTCTTCATCAAACAGTAACTCCCATTGATCGATTGGCACAAGCGATCCAAACAGTTTGGTCATGTTATCACCCAGCTATAATAGTAAAATAAGTACATGATAGATGTACAATTTGTAAGTATTACCTTGTCTAATTCACGAATTACATCTTCCATGAGAGTAACATATGCATAATAAAACACATAGACATTATCCTGTTCTAATAACTGCTTGGATTGGGCAATAGGCGCACTTTTAAGATGAGACAGGAGCTGCTGCCAGGCCTTTCTAGCTGGGGGGAAATAAGGAGGCATGGGCGTCTTTAGACGTAGGGCAGAAGCGAGCAAATAAAAGTATAAGAGAACATTGCCAATCATTTCACGCCGTTCATGAGCAACGGGTGCCATAAAGTCATGCTGTACATGATTATGCCAGGCATCCTTGAGCATGACGGTACGCATCGACAAGAACCGATCGACAATGTTTTGACAAGACAGCAGCATGGTACGATATGTATTGATAGGGAACGGCCCCTTCAGGCGAGGCTCGTTTGGTGTCTGTGAAAGTAAATCGTTCAGCTCGATGAGTGATCGCTGCAAGCTGAGTTCAAGGTCCATAAACGACTGTGTCGCCAATTTTTCCTGAGCTTCGTACGTCAAGATCTGGGTTTCAGATGCGCGTGGATCCAAGGGCTGCTTCAGTTTGATGGGTACATCTGCATAGAGCGAGATCAGTTTTTGGTAGAGCCAGGCCAGACGCAGTAAGAGGTCAGAGAGACCCTTTCGAAGTTCAACACGTGCCTCGTATGGCCAGACATAGGCTGTGGCGATCAAACCAAAGACGACACCGACCAAGATGGCAAAACAACGCTGCATTGCCAATCGCCATACCTCAACCTCGTTTGTGTCTCGGTCGTTGTACTTGTTGAGCATGACCAGATTGTAAGCGAGCAAAGTGAACTGACCAAACTTGCCGTGTTTATTGTTGAGAATCATCCAAAAGTTGGGAATTGAAAACAGCCAGGTGATGATCGGCAAGACATACATGTTGGCCGGAAAGAGCATGTAAAAGATCATGGCAGAGTAACAGCCAAGAATCGTTGAGAAGATACGGTATACGGCCACCAAGTTAGTTCCTCCTACAGTGGGCGTCATCACAACCATCAACTACGCACAAAAACACACCTAAGTATCTCTTTTTTTTCAATAATGAACATGACTTACTGTAATCAATGCCCATTCCATACGATACTCTCTAAACCATTCCTTTGTCGGTTCTAAAAACGCAGGCAGAGCCAGTAAAACGGCAGCGATGGTTGCCTTTGTTGCATACCTTACTTTCTGCAATTTGAATAACGAAAATGTCATCCAGAGCTGAATGAAGAATTTGCGCCATTTCGTCTTTGGTTTAGGTGTATGCAGTGTATCAAACGTGTTGCGTTCGTTTGGAATAAAAGGTGTTGTTTTGACAGAAGATGTACTCACTGTCTTTTTTCTCCACGAGAACAGCCAAGTGAAGAACCCGACCTGTTTCGTCTCGTGTAGTTTCTGCATATTCTCTACGAGCGTAATAAGTTCTTTTGCGAATTCGGTCATATTGAACACAAAGAAATACACCAAAAAGACTTCTTCGCCCAAGATGCTGCCGACAGCCTCTGTCTCAACTTCTTTATCTGTGCCCTGTCTATGTTTTCGCAAGTAGTCCAGTCGTTTCTGATATAACTTTTGAATGGCATGTTTTTGTGATGCTTCAAAAAGCGAGATGGCCTTTTGGAGGTTCGTCTTGAGTAGGGACATGGAAGGAGTAGGGTTTTTAACTCCAGACGTGAAACTGCTCTGTAAGTGGTAAAGGGTCTGTTTGCAGGTATAAGCAAGGGATTTGAGTGGAGGTCGAATAGTCTGGATAAAATCAAACAGGGACGTACTCTTTTCTTCTACTTTTGAGGTGGAAGGAGTATTTAGGACAACATCTGAATCAAACGCAAGGGACCGTTGTTTGCGCATCTCATCCTGAAGCTTTCGTCGTCTATACCCAGCTCGTACGTTCCAATTGACATCACTTGTCATCAAGCTGCTCTGAGTTTTTGATCCACCAAAAAGTGATTTTTGTTTCTTGTTTCGCGCCATCTCCTTGTATTGCTGTGTAGCCTCGCTACCCATCATCTCAAACTGGATACCGCAGCTGCTTCGAAGGCCGCCCATGTGCTGAGCAAGTCGCTGCATGCTCTTGACAATCTGATCGTATTCTTGAGTCTTGCCACGCACTTCACTGTTCCAAAACGACTCGAGTTTGGCTTCCTTGAGCGATTTCTGGAGGGCGGTAAAACTGGCCTGATGTGATTGGATGGCGGCCTGGAGTGTACGGTTCGCCTTAAATTCGGGTAAATCGTCGTCAAGCAAGAACGTCTTGGTTAAAAGCTTGAGTAAAACACGGTAGGAGGCGAGTGAGGCGTCTAGGTCCTTCTTGAGCTTACTTGCTGCAGACGAGGGCCAAAACAGAATACAACAGGCCACAGTGATGAGTGTGCCCGTGGCCACAGCGGACGTGATCTGTTCGATACGGGTCGTATCAAAATCGCCTCGGTTGACTGAGCCTTCACGCACAACGATGATAAAGATGGTGATGAAACAGAGTGAGGATGCCGTCGCTACCGGTGGTTTATTCCAATGCGCTTTTAAGAACGAGACCGTAAATGTGGCTCCTGCGAGCCAAACGAAAAGAGAGATACAGTGTGCGATCGTCTCATGGTTGCGGTCAATAAAGTAGTCAGTAGTGAACATGGAACCTAGACAGAGCGTGACAGCAAAGAGAACGTAGCCCCATCCATAAGCAGCAGCCTCGAGCATGCCACCGAGTGTCTTGGCCGGATTAAAAAAGACGGTGGCTGTGGCTACCAGATGACTTGACGTATGGTTGTTACCGATCAATCGATTCAAGGCAGGTATGAAAGTAAACAGAGAGCCTAACAGGTAGGCAAAACTACACTTTAATACCAATCGTTGACTTGGAGTCAGTTGTAGTCGAGCCCATAGTTTGCCCCAGAGCATGGCGAACCTCGTGCTGTTATCGTCGTCATCTATGATAGCATGATGTTTGCGGTGTGGCTTTTTACGTCGGACAGGGAAAAAGGGTTCGTCAGAGTCGCTATCGGAAGACGAAGAAGATATCAAAGGACTGTTTGTCGCTTGGTACTTGGCCTTATGGGATGATAATAAAGGAGTACGATCATCTGGACTTCAATAATATATAAGTTGGGACTGCAGCAAAAAATAATAAAGTTACCTTTCATCTATGTCGGGTATTGTCGATAAAGATACCGTTCGTTTTTGAGTCGTGCCGTCGTCCAAGATGACATCGATCTCACTTTGAGCAGAAGGCGATCCTTGAACAAAATCAAAATCTTGAAGAGCATCAAGTGATTGCGTTCGTTCTATAAACATTGATTGTGGTGAAGTGGAAAATGAAGGTATGCCAGGATCAGACAATGGTGACCCTATTATCGGTTCTTTTACTGCATTCTGTGGTCTTCTCTTTGTGGAGTCCATAAAAAAGTAAAGAGAAAAAAAAAGGCAGGATACTGAATAAAGTGTAAACAAGAATGATGTCATTTTCCTTTTTTGGATAATCGAGCATTCTGTATGCAAACTCTACTTTCTATCTTTTATAGCCGTAATGCTTGATCTCCCAACATAAGCAAGCTTATTTCTATAATCATTCTGTTCACTGATGAATGATATAATGAAAAGAAGAACCATGAAAAATGAAGGAAATTTTTTATTGTGTTGTCAATTGCTATTATTATTATTATTATGGATGGATCCAAACATCCACCTGTTTTGCTTATAAACTCTCCTTTTGATACTTGCTCAAGGGATGTCTATTGTTTCTGATGCTTCTGTCATAAATTCGTTCTCTTCTTGCCATTTCTTTATTGTATATCGTGCAGCTCGATATGAAATGTTTTGAAAGCGACAGATAGCCTTGGGTCCCATTCCCTTATGATAAAGAGTAATAATACCTAATCGTTGAGTTTCTGTGATACCAGGCGTATGTGTTTGAATAATACGAGGTCGACGTCGAATTGCCATGATTGAAATAAAGAAGAAAAAAGACAATTGTGTGGGGCACGGATTGAAATAATTGCATTAAGGAAATAATCTACAAATCAAAATATAGCAAAAGAGGAACCACAATGTGACGCCTAGTTAAGCCTGCATATGAATGGATACAGACTGGCTGCCTTTAAGTATTATGGAAAAAAAGTAGAGAGAAAAAGAATCATATTATGAATTCATTCTCACAAGGTTCTATATTTCTCTCTTTCTTTCTTTCTCTATTTTGTTTTTTTATTTGCTTATAATGTCGGACAATTATGAGATGACCTGTCAAGAGCTCGATGCTATAACCTCATCATATCTATCCAAGCTTGAGGAGTACATGCAAATGTGCAATGAAACAGCAAATCACTTTCAACAGGTAAATTGGGCCCCCTGATGCAGAATGAGTTGACAATGATGAAAAGGGGTTTTTAGACTTGGCTCATGCAAAGTATACAATGGGGACAAGAACTATTTCGCGTTATTCATATGACAGTCGTATGAAAGCAAGTTTAAAAGTGTAAGTAATAATGTAGAAATGAATATGTTGACTGATAGTTCAATAGAGAAATAGAAAATGATCTTGTCTGTGTGATGAATGACAATAAAGAAAAGGAAGAACAAGTAGAGGGATTAAGAAATAGACATCAAAAGGAACAGATTCAATCAAAAGATGATAACAAAGATCAAAGCAATGATACGAAAAAGAAGAATAAGGATCCTCTTTACTGGTTTGGATTGTTAGTGTCTCCTTCACTACGAACAAGTCAAAAGCACTTTAGTTTAGGTACTAAAATATATCAACAGAGATAGTTCAATAACACTTTGTTTTAGCAACAGAAAGGTTGATTGATCAAGTGAATAGAATAAAGGAGTTGAGAGAATTGGAAATAAAGTATAAGGAATTGATGGAAAAGAAAGAGAAATAATAAAGTTTATTAAAAAAAAATGCTACAATATGGAAATTAAGATGATGTTTGCTCAAGACGCATGTTATTAAAAGTGTCAGAGTCAACGAGATGAAGTTTAGTACTTGTTCTGTTGTTCATTGGTAAATCTAAATCAGAGCGAGCAATCTCTTGAACATCAGGTATTTCATCACCCAGTACTCCCCAATTAGCAGCGCCAGCGCCCATTTTCTTTAATCCATAACGTGCTTCTGTAAGACCATTTCTACATAGACATGAGTCATTTGAATATATAACCAAACTATCTTTCTTTACCTGGCAACATGTCGTTCATGACGATGGTAATAGGAATCTTTGCTTCTTGACATTTTGTATGTATTCTAAGGGGAAAAAAAAAGAAAGAAAAAGAGTGCCTTTTTATATCTTAAAAAATATAAAGTCGCATGATGGACGTAATCATGTGTTGAAATTGACAGTTTTTATTTTTTTTATGCAAATTTTATCTGGCTACAAGTAAAAAAAAAAAGGGGGGGGGGAGAGAGAGCCAAATGATGTTAAGCTAAAGATCCATTGAAAAAGAGGATGATAAAGACGTTTGATAATAATATCTAATAATCATAGATTTATCTACTTCTTTATTCTTTACATGAGAGAATTGAACAAGTGAATAGCCCTGTTTAAGATTAGTTTCACTTTTACTAAATTAACCTGGGAAAATAAAACACACAAGCTAAAGGGGAATAAAAATAACCCCAACTATCTATAGCAGATGCATCTTATTGCAAAGAAAACAAACAACAATTCCAGATTGCATGTCTTCAATCATTCAAGAGTGATCAAGTCTAAACCTCTCAAAAGTAAAGATAAGGAAACCCCTATCTCCCCTTGATTAAAATAGAAAAAGGCGCTCTGCTTTCTAGAATGTTCAAAGCCTTGGGAAAAGAGATAAGAAAGATAAACACTCTAAAGATTTCATATAAAAATGGCAACTTAAACATTGACTAATAAGCGACAGATTTATTGACTATCCTGGGCTTTTATTCAAGGCATCAACAATAGAGTATTACAACTTGTTTCCCTTTGTGTACATTTTGCTGCATATATTCCCACCAAAGCCAATACCTTCAAAGGAAAGTGTTGCTGTACAGTGGTTTGCGTTTAAAATTCAAGATTTTTGTCCAACCAATCAAAGATTTTTTAGAGCATTCAAATTTTCTTGAGATCACTCAATTTTTTGGGCCTTTTTAGCCACCAGCCCAAAAGATTTTAATGGCCCGAATTTTCTTACAGACTCTATGTGATATGTGTAGAATTTAAGGGGACAGTGAAGTACAATCGTTTTATATGCTTTTCGTTTTACTACAGAATGTGTCTTTATAAAAGATGTATAGCATGTATCGTAATTCACTCTCTTTGATACTTTGACACCATATTCTGTCAGGATTGTAATGTGAGCTTATTAGGTGTTGTATACCTAATTGAACTTCCAACTGTCATTTATACCATTCTCAGCGTATATTCACTAAAGTGTTAAATGTCGATACGACAGGAGGGATTTTTTCAGCCTTTATTCTTTACTTGGTTTGAGGGTAGATTTCTCATTTTCTAGTCTTTTGCTTTTTTGGCGAAGCATGGGCAGTGTCGCGAGAATTATCTGATTCTTCAGAAGAATTGCCATCAGAGTCACTGTTTAAATAATTGTCAGCTGATTGTGCGCCAGCAGCGATGAGAGCCTATTATTAACAAAATGCGTTCGTATTAGGTGCTGGACAATAAAATCAATAAAATTGTATGCCTCAGTACAAACCTTTACTTTCCATAGATTCTAAGATTCTTGGAGCAAAGTTTGATACTAATCCAAAAGGGCGGGCTAGATGGAATGACATGACGTTTTCGAAGACATAAATGCCTCGGCTTGACTGGCACAGACGGTAAATGTACATCTTGTTTACTATTAAAGTAGTTAGCCAAGATATTTCAGATCAAGCCCAGAAACAAAACACTCACAGTATATTTGGATTGCATAAATTTTAACGTGCTCATACGAGCCTTCATCGCCATGGCTAATCGTTCTTCTTATTTTTTTAACATTGCCCTTAATTGTTTTGCCAGCTTTATTTTGTCACCGAAAAAATGCTGCTGGTTGGATTGGTTGTGTGGACCTCACTTCAACCAGAGCAAATGGTAGGTCGTATTTGTCCAAGCTCAAAATAGCATCAAGAATTTTGCCTATATTTCTTCTTTCGCCATTCTTTTGATTTATTTGTTTGTCCTCTTTTTCTGCTTGAAGAGCCTCGTCACCCCTTACATCAAAATTCATTATTTAGTTGACATACTAAAGATAATCAAGCAAAACTTGATAATTGTGTATGTCTTACCATTGCAAGCTAAACTGACTAGAGTGACTTTTGAATACTTCTTTACAGACTGGTCCCAAAAAAGTAACGACAAAGTGTTTTTCGCTTTGCTTGTTATAGAGGGAGTAACGGCCATCCGGAGAATATATGTCCCTTCTACCAAAAAAGTGCTTAAATTCAATTCTCTTTTCTCGGACTAATTTTATACTATTTTCTTGCATTTTCTTCATGGGCTTGATCGCTCTTTTTCTCCACTTGCAAGTTTTGTCTTTGATATCACAGATCATCTTTCTATCGTCCAGCACTATATGTGCCAGAAGTTAGATTAGTTCTAGGGATGTTGTCTCTACCCAATACCTATGATGAAGCCCAACAAACCTTTTCAGTGCGTGGCGCCACACTAAACATGAGTTTATAAAGTCACCATTTTGGTTTATGTTTCTTTTCAAGAAGAAAGAGATAAAAAAGAAATGTTGCTATTGATGTATTTATTCTAATTTTATGTTGTCAGTTGATCAACAAAGAGCCAAGATTATTCACTTGTAATTATGATGCATTCACATTTTATATCAGAGAGAGTGAACTGGACAGCCTTAGGCTAGGTAGATACCTTGGTAGTGTGAAGTTGTAAAATGATGTATCAGCCCATTTTCTGGTGCATTTTCTGGTGTATGCAGTGTTGGTCAATAAACAAAAAACAATAAACTATCTCTTTTAACTTTTCAAACCACGTATCGTGGACAGTATTATGGAAAGTGAGCACAATGCATACAGCCAAATCAGAGTCTCTTCCCTGAGGAAATCGAAGAACTGTGCCAACAATTTGCCACTCGATTTCGAATCGAAGAAGAAGTACAGCGAAAACACCATCAGCTTACATTCCCAAACGCCCTCAACAGACTCGTCGGAGGTAACAATCTTTATTAGGAAATTCTTTTTTTATTTTATTTTTTACCTTGATTGACAGATGGCAAGCAACATCCATGCACTTTTTCATGTTCCAGAAGGTTTCTTATTCCCCTTTGTCAACTGACACGAATATACATATATATACACTTGATATGACATTACTAAAATTGCTACAAAGGACTAGAGCATGTAGCAGCAAGAGACATTGAGGAATCAATCAAAGACAAATCAATCTTGCAGGAATCCGCCTATAACTGGGAAAAGAAAACAGGCCGTGTACACCTGTTTGGTACTGTCAAGAGTGTTTCCGAATTCAGATCGTACATACAACAGATTGAACTAAGGAGTGTTTACAGCGTGATGCTCGTTGCTGCAGAAACGATCATTCCCATAAACACATTTAATGAAGCAGATCCTACCTGTCAGTTCATATCGCACATCACACAGAATGGAAACTGGGAAACATTGTTTGGGAAACAAGCAGAGCGAGCGACATTTAGAGCAACTTTTAAAAAGGGAGCTTTGAAGCACAAGGTGCCGAGCCAAGAGATCGCAGGGTATATCGGAGCAGCTTTTGGTGAACTGTACGATGAGTGGAAGGTGAAAATGACTGGATTTGACTATGAGATCATGGGAATCTGGTTCCAATCGGACAATGTCGAGTGGTTAAAACGTCTCTCTGTATCAGATCAAAGTATTATTTTGCTTCTTGGGCTCAATATCCCTATTGAAGATCAAAAGTACAGAAATAGGTTATTCTTTGGCCGAACAAGCTTAAATCCTTGTATTGCATACTGTCTAGCCATGATCGCACAGCCTCGACCAGGGCAGATTGTCTTGGATATGTGTTGTGGAACAGGCACAATACCGATTGAAGGTATATGAGCAATATAACATAAAGATGAAAACATGTATTAATGATTTTTTGCAGGAGCATCTCGCTTTCCCAACACGTTCTGGCTTGGAGGTGAAGGTAAGCTAGTGTTTTGACCCTTTTAATGTTTTGTGTTTGCTAACTCTTGAAAAGTAAAAGTTAAAACACTCGCTGAAAAGGGACGTGGTAATGTATTGCATGCTAACTTGCAAAATGTTGATTTGCTGTTGAGTGATGGTAGAAAAATGTGCTTAAGAGATGGTACAGTTGACACGATTGTTTCAGGTAAATCCTCACCTTTGGATATATATAGAAAAGATGTGCTTATTTTTTTTTTTTTTACAAGATTGGCCTTGGGGCCTAAGAGAAAACTCATTTCAACAGATTCAAGGGGTAAAAAAAACAGATAGAACAAAAGCAACGGCTTAAATAACTTGTCTAAAACAGCTTTATCCTAAATTCATGAAACAAATGTGGAGAGTGCTACAACCTGAAGGAAAGGCTTATATTGTCACTCAGGGCAATAAATTGATGCATAGAGTATTAAAGTATGACTGGTGTCAAAGGCAATGGAAAGTAGATGATATTGTGCCTATTGGTATTGGTGGTTATGACGTATACCTGTTTATACTTTCAAAATGTCAATAAAGAAGCATTTTTATGACTTTGGCACTATGAAAGGGGTTTTCCCTTTGATTAAATGATCAAAGGGTCTTTTTATATATTTATCAATGTATCATAAATGGACCTTGTTAGTCTTGAGATGATGAGGTCGCGCGACTTTTTCTGAGAGCAAATAAAGTGCAGATGACGAAAAAGTACCAAAGGAATGCCCTCCGGTCAGCCAATCAAATGTTGACTGTGGCAAGTTGCTTTTTTTATACATAAGCAAAGGATTTTTTTTTATTTATTCTTTGAGTGTCTTTTTCTTTTTACTTTTTCACGTAAATGTTGAATTCTCGCTTTTACAAAATTGCCACTGACTCTTCACGTTTCCTTTAGTAATGTCTAATAATCTAGCTTCAGATTCACTTTTACTGGGCAAAACATTATTCGAGAAAGGATACAGCTGCTTATTCACCCTAGACAATGCCATGCAGGTCATGGAAAATGTGAGCATACAGGAAGATTCTGTTTCAAAAGCTCTCGCCTTGATCATTCGCACCCATTCTATGCCTCAACTAGCAACAAAAGAAGCACAGACCTGGAACATGGAAAACTTTGTAGCAGCTGCATTGAAAAAGGTAACTGACATCAAAAACATACACATATTAGAAAATATCTGACTTTGTGCGCGCACGATCTAGAATCCCAACTTGAACTGGACTGTAGTTTTAGCAAAACTGGACCAAGCAGAATTCATGGTGTTTGATCCCATTGGCTTTAAATTACTTGTATTATCTTGGAGATGTCATAAACGGGTATGTAAATACGCTTCGAACGCGCACGCCTTGGTACTCATAATAATTTATAGGATGAACCATTCCCTGTTTCAGTCTTCTTTCAGCCTTGGGCCAATGTCAGAGCCCAGCTCAGCGCGCTATATCACATGGTATATGCGCCAACCGATCTATTGGACTTGAACAAGACAGTAACAAAGAAAGTCATTCCCGAAGATTTGATTACAGCACTACCCGTCAGTATGCGCCAAGCTGCCTCTCAGCTCGCTATACAGCAATTAAACTGTTTAGACTTGCTTGACGCGATCATGAGCTTAGTTGGTACAGCAGCTACGGATGATATAAAGGTCTTGATGGATAGATTGGCCATTCAAGCTCCAGAGTTACTCATGATTGGCTTAGCTCAGATTCAGGTATATATCAATATTAACTCTCAATGATCACTTGTCTAATTGGTATCAATAGCCCATTAAAAACGAATTACATCGCGCACTCTTTCCTAAGCTACTCAACATATTCTTAATTGGTCACGTTAACTCTCCTTTTGTTATCAGATGTCTTTGGCATGTTCAACCCAATTTATTACTAGAAGGCTTTTTCGAAATGTACAAAAAGGATCCTACCCTAATTTCACGCATATTTGATATCTCACAGGAAGCAAAGGTAAGCGTTGTTATTTTTGAAGGTGATATATCTAACATCCAATCAGATTGTTGTTAATGTCTTGAAAGCCGATTTACCGTTCTTTACACTTGATTTGGCCTCTCTGGCTGCTCGTAGACAAAATTTGAACTTGGAGAAGTGGCTGACGGATAGGCTAAGTAAAGAAGGATTCCCCTTTTATGGAGCATGCATCGATTTTCTGGAAAAGAAATGTGCTATCGAAATGGCTCGTCAATCAAGAGCTAACGTCATTCCTACCCTTCAGCTATCTGTTGAAGTGATTCGTATATTCTTTAAAGTTTTAACGGAAAGGTAATCCCCTCCTTTGCCCTATCTTGATACAATAGGAAGCTAATATATAGTGATTAGACCATTGCCGCCTGCTGAAACGGCCAAACTTTCCAAACTGAGTCAATTGTATGCTCAACTATATCCTCAGCTGAATGACAATCGTGTTCCTATGGAGAAGAAACCAAATGGAGGAGAAGCAGGCGAAGGCGAAAGAAATTATCCGGATGAGGTAGAGGAAATGGTCCGATTATACTTTGAAAGACTTTACACCAAGGATATCACTGCAGCTCGGTTTGCTTCCGTCTTGAAGGCCTGTCGTTCTTCAAACGACCCAAGACAAGCAAGCTTTTTTGCCTGCGCAACACACACTTTGGTAAGTTTTATTTAAAATCAGTACGATAATATGGATTATAACATCTTTCTAGTTGGATGAATCTCGTTTCTTTAGCCAATATCCAGAAAGCGAGTTATTAGCTACAGGCGAATTACTTGGCATGCTGATAGAACTTCATTTGATATCGTACTCTCATTTACGGGGTACATTAAAGCTTATCCTTGACGCGCTGAAGCATCCAATTGGCTCAAAGATGTTCAACTTCGGCGTCCAAGCCTTGACACAATTTAGAAACAGGTTAAGCGAATGGCCTCAGTACACCTTGCTCCTTTCTAAAATTGAAGGCTTGAGAAACTATCCGGTTATTGTGGAGGCGATTGCAACAACACTGAAACAGCTTGCTCAAAAGGATCCTGAAGGAAAGATGGCAGCTTCTGAAACTGGTGGAGAGGCCAATGAGAGAACCTCCGAGACATCTGCCGCGAATACGACCTTGCTACAAAGCTCTACAAGGCAAGCATACGAAATCCCTCCTGAAAAGACCCAGGAGAGAGTATCTTTCCTCATCAACAACCTTTCTGTTGGTAACCTGAAGAGCAAGTCAAGTGAGCTGAAAGATTTGCTCCAACCACCAAACTATGGGTGGTTCAGCCACTATTTGGTGGTACGTCGTGTTAGCATTGAGCCGAATAACCATGAGCTGTACTCTTCGCTCCTAGACGAGCTTGATCTCCAAGGCTTGAATGATGCAATCATTGAAGAAACTTATGCGAATATCAATGTACTTCTTCAGTCGGACAATATTGTGAATTCATCTTCTGACAAGAATCTCTTGAAGAATCTGGGAACTTGGCTTGGTCGACTCACCATTGCTAAGAACAAACCAATTCGATACAAAGACCTTTCCTTTAAGGATTTGCTCATTTCTGCCTACGAAAAGAACAGATTGACGGTGGTCATCCCCTTGGTTTGCAAAGTATTACAACACGCTGCAGCAAGTAAGATCTTCAAGCCACCTAACCCATGGTTGATGAGTACTTTGAAGCTTCTTGCTGAGCTTTATTGGACAGAAGGCTTGAAATTGACCATGAAGTTTGAAATTGAATTGCTTTATAAGGCCTTGGAGCTTGATCTGAATGAGATCGAGCCTTCTTCTGTCCTGGAGAAATATTCGCCTCAAGCCAGCCAAGTAGCCGCTGAACCTTCTGCCGTTGCTGCCCCTACTCCCTCTGCTTCCACCTTGTCTGCTGCGTTGCCTGTGCCAAGGACGTCTTCAGTTGATCCTAATGAACATCAGGCATCAAGCACGGCCGTAAACAATAGCGAAGCCACGCAGAGTAAGTATCCCCCTATTTTACAGATGATATTTGAGAATTAACTCCTCATGTTACAAATAGACCCAAGGCTAGACGTCGATGTTACTCCCATTCTGGCCAAACTGCAAGTGAACCCAGCTGTAGCTCAGTTAATGATGCAGCATCCTGTAATCAAGTCAATCATTTATGCTGGTATTTCCGAAGCATTTACTGAAGTAGTACCATCCATTATTACGACGTCTGCCAACATCGCTGCTCTTACGACTAAAGAAATGATACTAAAGGATTTTGCTACCGAGCCTGATGAATCGTGTGTGCAAAGAGCAGCTCATGCAATGGTCCAACCTCTTGCAAGTAACCTAGCAGTTGTTACATGCAAAGAACCTTTGTGCAATGGTATTACCAGCATCTTACGCTTCAATTTGACGAAGCAAGGGTTGCCCGAGCAGCTTGCCGATGAAATTGCAAATACAATTGCCAACGAAAATATTGAACTGATGTGCGTCTATATCGAGCAGCTTACACAAGCCAAGGCTCTTGAAAACGTGGATCGTCAACTGACGCCCGCTTACGCTAATCGAGCCACTTTCAAGAAGCAAGTGAATCGATCTCAATTCTTTGACGTGCTCAGTCTAACCGTTGCTCCTCATTCTGTACAAATGCCTGACCTCCTTCGACCCACACATGGTATAACGCCCGAACATCTGCGTCTGTATGAGAACTTTGGACAAGGATCGTACATGGCTGTTCAACAGCAACAGCAGCGTCCTTTGCAGCCTCAACCTCCCCAACCTATATCACCACTTCATTTTCACCCTGAAGCACAGCAGCAACCACCATTACCACAAACACCACAGCAGTTCATTGCTCCGGATTCTCCTATGGCTGCTAATGGTGCTCGATTACTGACTGCCAAGTTAGAACAAATGCTTCTCGAACTTGATAGACTGATCCGACAATGCGGTATTTCCGATATCGCTCAACTACCTCCTAACCATGATATTTGCTTGTTGATCCGCCAAATTCCTCTCCTTGCCTCACAAAGCACAACCCCCCGACGAACAATGATTACATTTGTTGAAAAGGTTGTTTTTATGTTCTACCAAAGTAGCACCTCGTTTGCCTTGGAGATATACACCATGTTCTTGCAATCTCTGTTTGAAGTATCTGGTGAAGTGACTAAAGAAACCCTCTCTTGGCTGATCTATGCTGATGACGAACGCAAATACAACCCGCCTGCCATTGCCATGCTAATTCGATACGAATTGCTTCCATTAGAAGAATACGATGTGCAATTAGCCAAGTTGATCAATGCCAAGGCCGATAGTGTCATCGAATTTGCTGCAGGACTCATGCGTCTCTGTCTTTTGTCGCCCAATCCAACCTCGTGTCTTGAAGACCACATCCTGACTGTTTCTTCTTTAGTGAACTTGGCAAAGAACGATGAAGCACCTGCTAGTGTGACCGCTCTGATAGACGACCTTCGAAAGGCTATGGAAGCTCCTTACAGTGATATCAAGCATGATAGGCTAGATTGTTTAGAGTTACGCATGTTATTCGCTGAGTGGGCTAGGTTATGTCAACATCCTATGGCTGTCAAGGACATTCGTAATACAATTATTGAAGCTATCATGGGACGTATCAATGACGAAGAAGAAGATGCGTGCTTCATTTTTAGGCTTTACACTGAAGCCTGTGTAAACCAATACCTCACTTCCAGGATTACTACAACCATACATCATCGTCGTATGATTCATCTGATTGACTCGTACACCAAGCTAGTATCTGCGATGATAGCCGAAAGCGTATCTTTTGACAAACTAAAGCTCCTCAACCACGCTCTCTCTGTTATCATCTTGATCCTTTCACACCATCACCAGAGCAAGGGTATCCATTTCAACCAGAAGCCATTCCTCCGACTGCTTTTTTCGCTATTCCATGAAGTAAACAAGATTAACCTTAAAGAAGTTGACCGTAGCGTAGTGATTATATTTAGGTAAGTGGAAAAAAGAAGCTAAAAGAAAAAGTCAGGCTGATCTTTTCATCGTTTGTAGTGATGCACTTTACACGTTACAACCTTCCAATTTCCCTGGCTTTGCCTTCTCGTGGCTCCAACTAATCGCATCACGTACGTTCTTGCCTCAACTTCTTGTTGGTAATGATAAAGTTGGTTGGAAACTTTGTCAAAAGTTGGTCGAGGCACTCCTCAAATTCCTGGGCCCATTGTTGGACAGCAAAGAACTTTCGCGTGGAACCCGAATATTTTACCGCGGTACTCTTCGTGCACTAGTGATCTTATTGCATGATTTTCCTGAATTTGTGTGTCACAACTATCTCTTGTTTGCCCAGACGATTCCTTACTCATGTGTCCAACTTCGTAACCTGATCTTAAGTGCCTTCCCTCGAACGATGCACCTTCCTGATCCATTTACACCTGACCTCAAGCTCAGTCTTCTTCACGAGTGTACTGAAGATCCTACGTATGATGACAGCTACAGTCACCGTCTGTTGAGCAGCGACTTTAGAGCCAAGATTGACGAGTTCATTCAAGACAAAGGGCAATATTCTGGATTTTACAAGGTGTTGGAAAATGAAATTGAGCTCGAAGACAAGCTGTGCCGTTCTGATGTGCTAAGCATGTTTGTTATTTACATTGGTGCCAAAGTTGCAAGTCTTAAATTGAAGACTGAAGAAAATCCTGCTATATTTGCTTATGAGCATTTATTGTCCAAGTTAGGGTCAGCTGGTCGATACACTGTCTTGAATGCAATTTCGGATAATTTGCGTTACCCAAATAGTCATACACTTTTCTTTAGCTCATCGTTGCTTTATTTATTTACGAAACAATCTGAAGCTGTGAAGGAACAGATCACAAGGTAAATAGTGTAAAGGGTCATCTTTTTTTACTTGAAACTTATATTTTTAATAGGGTGTTATTGGAAAGATTGATTGTGAATAGACCACACCCATGGGGATTACTGGCTACATTTATTGAATTGATCAAGAACCCTAATTTCTGGAAACATGACTTTATTCGCTGCTCACCTGATATTGAAAGATTATTTGATAACGTTTCAAGGTAAAAAAAAAAAAAAAAAAAAAAGCGAGAAGCTTGTTTGTACTATTTTTTTTTTTTCTTTATTGACTTGTTTTAATAGATCAATCAAACAAACTGTGGTTGCTACTAATTAAAACTATATAAATAATAAATACATAATAACAATATAAATATAATAATAAATAATCACATTGATACAAGTATAATTGGAATAATGGTTCATTTTTTTATGCAAACTTTTACTTAAACTTTATATTCAGGGATTGCCCGGTTACCCCTTTTATGGTAGTTTTTTTATTCCATAAGCACTTAAAAGAGTGTTTATTTAAAACATATATAATTATATTTAAGCAACGGGGGCCATCTTTGACTGCTGTTGATCTTGTCGCTTGAAATAAAGTAAGGAAGAGGATTTTTCAAATAAGGGCAAGATGATATCGTTTCGGGATAGTGTCCAAATACTTCTTACACGCTCCATGTGGCTTAAATTTTGTTTATTCAACTCTTGACGAACCTTGTCTAATTCTGTTTGTGTGAAATTGTACAGAGTCTGCACTTGCTCAGAGCCTATATCTATCCTTTCCTTCAGGAATGGTCTCTTTTCGATCATGGATTTAGCTTGTTCAATGATCCATGTCTTGATGACTGCTCTTATCCTTCTTTCTTCTTCTTTACTAGCTTCGACTTTATTCATCACTTTCTGAGTAATGCGACTAGATAAGATATTGATAACCTTGACCAGACGCTGAACGCCATGTTCTTGAATTGTCACTTTTTCTTCTTGCTCAGCAGGAAGGTAGTAATCCAAGAGTCGTTCAAACTGGTCTGTGATGCGATCCATGGATGCTCTGTCGCCTTTTTCCTTCCAGAGAGAGACGGCTTGGTCAAGACGACCCTTGATGGGTTGAATGATCTCTTGCGTGGGCGAATTGATCATGGGGAATTGACGCTCAAGTAGATCGAGTGATCGGTTACCCAAGTCGTTGGCATGAGAAAAGATAGTGCCCAAAGGCTTATTATCAATAGACTGCGCCGAAACAAGGATGGTCTGTATTTTTGTTTCAGCATAATCAAGTGCCTTTTGACCAATGGTATGTTGTCGCACAATGTTGTGGGCTCCCAGATAACTGTCTTGAATGATAGGAATGGAAGCAACACGAGTGAAGAAATTCTTTTTTTGCTCTTCATCATCAATGAGGATCATTTCTTCTTGAACTACCACAGAGACCTGCTCGTCCCTGACATCACGAGACACCTCTATTACATCTTCAAGTTGTTCGCTTTGTTCTGTAGTCACTTCTTGTACAGTAGCAATAGCAGAAGTCGCCTTTGATCCATCATGCTTATCTTCTTCTCCTGTGCTAAATCCTGAATCACCACCGATGCTACCACCATCGTCGACATCTATGATATTCATTAGATATATAGTAATGATTTGATGGGCCGTTAGTACCGTAATATTCATCTTTTTCTTCCTTGACTACAGTTGCCATGACAATATATTATGAATGAAAAAAAAAAAAAAAAAGTAAAAAAGAGAAGGAGATAGGGAAACGGACAAAATATGTTTAAATACATTTTTTATTTGTTTTTTTATTTTCATATGTTATTGAAGCATGATTTTGATAAAACACTTTTTTTTTTTGCTTCATATGATCACCTTCCCTACCTTTCTCTTTCTTCTCCTCTTCCTTTGTCCCTTTTTTTGTTGTTCCTCGGTAAAAGGTCTCTTTTAAAATAATTTCAGGTTTCTATTATTATTATCATTATTATTATTCAGTAACATAAGTTGTCATGTGATGCACCCCCTTTAGTTCTCTTGACTTGTTTATTATTTTGGTTCTGTGAGAGAGAGAGAGAGAGAGAGAAAGGAGTGTAATATAGAGTGTATTTGTATGTGCCGAAAGATTATTTATGCATAATGTACATTGGTTGACTATTTTGTTTGACACCAAAACTGTGCTTATCTTTTTTACATGCACACACAAGTTTACCCAGGCTATGATCCTTTTGGTATAAAGCAATGGCACGCACTTTTTTCTGTTCTAAAAGTGTCACCGCTTTTTTTTCTGCGGTAACGGGAAGACATTATGATTGGTTAGTTACTCTCTACTGCGGTTGACAAGATTATATTTAAAAGACATACACACACGCTTTCTCTTTTCCTGCCTTATCAACGTAACCATGGAAACTTCTTCTCAACCACCAACAGCCGATGCTAATCAAACCGAAGAAAGACCCCATCGAAGACGAAATCATACCCATCGTCGTCGTAAACCACGTACAGATAACACGACAAAAGAAGAAAAAGAAGATCGACCCAAAAAGAGAGAACCCTTGAAGGGGTTCAAGAAGGACAAATTGAATAAGAATCAAGATAGTGAAGAAGTATGCTTTATTTGTACAGAGCCTATTGATTACTATGCAGTTGCACCCTGTGATCATCGTACTTGCCACATGTGTACTCTTCGACTAAGAGTGCTCTACCACACCAAAAACTGTGCTTACTGCAAGGTAAAGAGAATATAAAAACCTCACAGAATGTTTACCTATTACCGTTTTCATAGGCAGAAGCAAAACGAGTGGTATTTACGAACGAGAGTGAGAAACCATATGAGGAATATAAGCGAGAGGATACGCCATTTTATGACAGAAAGTACGGAATCAGATTTGAAACTGAGGAAATGTTTAGAGATACACAAGTGATTCTTCAATACAATTGTCCAGACGAACAATGTGAAGCCGCATTCAGTCAGTTGCATGAGCTCAAAAAGCATGTCAAACAAGTTCATGAGCGAATACTTTGGTACATATACAAATAACATGGATCACACTGTGAAAAAGATAACTTATTGAGTTGTTAGTGACCTCTGTCTACGCAACAAAAAGATCTTCTCGCATGAACATACCATGTACACAAACTCTCAGCTCCAAAAACATCATCGAGAAGGGGACGCTTCGTTCAACCAGGAAGATGAGTCTGGGTTTACAGGACATCCAGAATGTGTCTTTTGCAGAACGCGATTTTATGGATCGGATGAATTATTTGAGCATTGCCGTGATAAGCATGAACAGTGTCATCTTTGTGTTAGAAATGGGGTGCAGCATCAGTACTATGCTAATTATGAAAGTTTGGTAAGTTTGTTAAACCTTTATTTAGGCGTTGCTTTATTGATAGACAAATAGGAAAAACATTTTCAAAGTGACCATTACCTTTGTATGTACAAGGAATGTTTGAATAACAAGTTTGTTGTCTTTGACACAGATATTGACTTGAAAGCACATGAAGTAAGTTTAGATGCTAAAATGAAAAGAGAACAGACATTGATTTTTTTTTTA